TTAATACATGATGAATAATAACGAAGTCAGATCCAGCTTTGAGCCATCATGTAAATAATTTCGCCTGTCTGATCTTCAATTTCATTCTCCAGAAAATGAGGCTAATAATACTTATATTACTTACTGCTCAGATTTGTTATGGGGAGGAAAGATCTTTGGGAAATATCAAGTCCTATAGAAACATGAGATATATCCTCATTTTGAGTCCCCTCTCTGGGTATGAGTTTACACCTCTGTAAAATGGAGGAAGTCGGACCAGATGATTGCCAAGGCCTCTTCCAGCTCTACCCTCTAATTTGAAGAGGTCTGCACTCCAATTTGTCATTGATGACCATCCAGTCTCCATGTCCCTTCCCTGCTATGGCCTATCTCCTCCACCTCTTTCCTACTTTCACTTCCTTCCACACTTCTATTAGGACTCTAAATGACCAGGGGTTTCCTCCCCCATTCAGTAAATAGAAGGTGAAAACTAGCCATACTTGAGCATTAAAATGTTAAAATAAGATTTTTTGTACAATAATAAAAAAATCATTAAAAGAAAAGCAATAGATTGGGAAATGTGTTTATAATAAAAACTATAAGGTGCGATTAAAAATTGTACAGTGCAAAGTCCCAGTCCACAATGTGTAATGATTGAAAGTATGTGAACAGTTTTCAAGAGGAAACAAATGGAATCCCTTGAAAAAATACTCAGCCTCACAAATAATCTGAGACCTGAGTTTGTATCCTATTTTCAACCTGTATGACCTTGGGCAAGTAACTTAACCTCCCTCAATCTTCAGTTTCCTCCAGAGAAAAATGGAGGGGTTTTGCTAGATGGCCACTAAGATCCCTTCTAGCTTTAAATGTATGAAATGTGAATTAAAACAACTCTGAGATACTATCTCATACCCATCAAATTAGCAAAAATAATTAAAACCAAGCCTGTGGTGTTGTGAAAAACAGGGACACTCATGCATTACTGGTAGAATTGCAAACTTGTAAAATCCTTCTGAAGACAGGATGAAGTAAAAGTTAGAAAAGTGATTGTACTTTTTAGCCCAGTAATTCCATAATGGGGAATACCCTATGAAAGAGCATTCAGAAGCAAAGAAACCTCCCAAAAGAGTCACCTGTTCAAAGATTTTCATGGCAGCATAATTTGTCATTGTAAAACACTGGAAGCCAACTGAATGTCCAGCAATGGGGGAATGATCAAGTTAATCATTGGACACGAAGGGAATGAAATGGCATGATGAATTAAAATGGACGGATACGAGGAGCACAGAAAAATGTAAGAAAAAAAACACAAAAGCAAAGTGGAAAAAGCAGATGAAAAACAAAGTCCACATGAACTCTGGCCAAAAGGAATGAACAAAGAACCCTCACGGATGGAGACAGAAAGTGATGGAAGGAAAAGTTGGGATGAGGTTTTTTGAGCTGAATTTGATTAACTTAAATGCAAATAGTTACTAAGTAAATTTAATTAAGTGTGTTGGTGTTCAGTATTTTTTTTTGTCAGTTTATATATTTTTTAATAAACAATTTTTTTAACATGTGTTTTTAAACCTTTGGGTTACAAGTTTTCTCCCTTCCTCCCTCCCCACCCACCCTCATTGAAAAGGTAAGCATCTCAATACAGGCTATAGATGTGTAGTCATGCAAAACACTTCCATAGTAGTCCTGTTGTGAAAAACTAAGTATAGTTCCCTTCATCCTATCCTCCCCTCCATTTACTCTATTCTCTCTTTTGGCCCTGTCCCTCCTCAGAAGTGTTTGCTTCTGACTATCCCCTTCCCCAATCTGCCCTCCCCTCCATCATCTCCCTAATCTCTTGTCCCCTTCCCCCCTTATTTTCCTGTAGGGTAAGATAGATTTCCATACCCCACTGTGTATGTTATTACCTCCTTAAGCCAAATCCAATGAGAATAAGATTCATTCATTTCCTCTCACCTTCCCCTTTTCCCCCTCCACTGTAAAAGCCTTTTCTTGTCTGTTTCTTGTGAGATAATTTACCCTACTCTACCTCTCCCTTTCGCCTTCTCCCAGTATAATCCTCTCTCACCCCTTAATTTTATTTTCCAGATATCACCTCTTCATCTTTAATTCACCCCATGCCCTCTATCTACCTATCTACCTACCTATCTATGTATCTATACATACATATAATTTTTTCCCTCCCACTAGAACAACTTATATTTTTTTAAAAATAGCATTCTACTACAGAACTCTGAGGTCTGGGGCCAGGTCTGAGACCAGAGATTTAACCTTTCTGTGCCTCAGTTTACTCATCTGTAATAGCACAGTGCCTCGCACATACTAAGTACTTAGTAGTCTGCCTTTCTATCATATGAGGGGGTCAATTAATTTCCATAAACATATTTGAGGCACCTACTGCTTGCAGAGTACTGGGATGTGTGTTGGGGCAGGGGAGGGAGATACACTATTTAAATAAGACATGAATCCTACAGTCCTGTCAGCGTAGATCACGCAATCACATGTAAGCATAATATTGTACATCATTAAGCGTTTCAGAAAGGTAGAGCAACAAGTGTTCATTAAGTATTCATTACTGGGGAGGCAAACAGAACAGCAAACCAGGCCAATCCCTCAGGAAGCTTACAGTCCAGTGGCCAGGAATAGACACACAGATGCAAGGTGACCTTGGCTGGGGAGGTGCTGGGAATGGGAGGGCCATCACTCTTTCCCATTTTTCAGAAGAAGGGATGTGATCTGCAGGAGGTTAGAAGGGAGGCAGGCACGCCCCAATCCCTGGTTGGGTGATTAGCTCTTCCCTCTGATTCTCCACAAGCCTCCTGATGCTCTCCCTTTGGTTACTCAGTGAGGAGATTCTGTGACTCAGCACTGGTCTGATGGCCTTGGTTCCTCAACTAAGTGGAAATTGGACCTACTTGGAATTAGAAAGTTTGGGTTTGAAATGTATTTCTCTTATTTTACGCCTGTGTGACTCTGAGAAAATCACTTAACCTTGCTGGGCCTCCTTCCCCTCTCTCCAAAAGGAGCAGGGTTCCATTGATGAGAGCCATCAGATTAGAGCGCTACAGCTAAAAGGATCCTCAGAGAGCACCTAAGCAAGCTTTCTGGGGATCCCTGAGACCTTTTCAGGGCATCCAGGAGGTCAAAATGGCAGTAAGACATTTTAATTTGTAATATAATACATATTGATAGATATGACCCACATAAACAAAAGCTCTTGGAGGAGGGGTCCTTAACAATTTTAAGAGTGTAAAGGAATCCTGAGACCAAAAAATTTGAGACTTCTAAACCAATCCCCTCTTCTTACAGAGGAAGAAACTGAGGCCCATTGTCACACAGGTATCACTGGCAGGATTTGAACCCAGGTCCTGAGACTCCAGAATTAGTGTCCTTACTACTGAACCAAGATCTTTAAGGCTTTTTTTTTTAATACCCAAAGGCTCTGATGAGAGGAGAACCCAAATTCTACATTATTTAGCAGCCAATTATAAACAGACATCTTTATATTGTCTTCCTGTCCCAATCTGTCTTTAATCTGCAGCATCCTGGGTTCCTCAGGCCTTTCTCTCCTCCTGGTCCCCAGTTCCTTCTTCCTGGACTTGGGGACCCCCCCACCCCCAGACTTCCTGCCTCTCCCATTCCGCCTATGCTTTATTTGCCCCAGAGCCAGTGGAGAGAGAGGAGGGGAGGCTGGGTAACAGGAGAGAGAAAAGTGATGGGGTGGGAGGGGGAGCTGAGTGTCAGTAGTGAAGGTGAAGATTCCTGTTGGGGCTGCATCCAACACAGTTGCTAAGTGTCCTATAATTATCTTATTTGTGTGAGTGAAGACTCGAGGCTCTGTACTTGGCTATTTTCATCACGTTTGCTGAAATACAATCACAAAGCAAAATTGAGAGAGAAAGAAACAGAAACAGAAGACACAGAGACACAGAGAGAGATAGCCTGGGGGGAGGGTTACCCCCTCAGTGGTAAGTAGGATAGCACCTCCAGCCCAGACATGCCATGAGCCTCCAACTGCCTATGGCTAGCACTCAAAACACCACTGCTGGTCATGTTTCGAGGCCTGTGAATCAGGCTCTTTCTCAGAAAGCCCCTGGAGCCAAGGGGACAGCTCTGAGGTAACCAAAAAACCCACAGTAAGAAAAGAAAACCTGGGGAGGAAGGAGTATCACTGAAAGAACCTTGAACCTGGAGTCAAAAGATCTGGGTTCAAACTCTGGTTCTGGCATCTAATTCATAGTCTGCCCCTGGACAAGACACTTCAATGGCCTCATGCCTCAGTTTTCCCATCTGTAAGGTAAGCAGGAGGACTAGATTATCTCTAAGGCCAAAAAAATCAAAGATTTAGATGGAAAGAACCTTAGAGGCCATCTGGCCAATCAATCAACAGGCATTTATTAAGCACCTACTACATGCCAAGCACTGTGGTAGCTACTGAGGAAATACCAGTCCATGCTCTCAGCCATTTTACAATGAATCTCAACCATTTTACAGATGAAGAAACTTAGACCCAGAGGGATAAATTGACTTGCCCAAGACCACATAGGTAGTAAGCACCATAGCTGGGACTTAAACCCAGGTCCTCGGTCTCTGTTTTCTTGCTATGCCATACTGCCCCCCCAGCTCTAAGGCCTATGGTGGTACTTTAAAATCTTCCACTTGGTTTCAACAAATTGATTTCAAAAAGACAACATGGAGAGGCATGGCTGGGCAGTGGTTCATTTGAAAAAGATCTGAGGGTTTCAGTAGATCACAAGCTTGATAGGAGAACACTTCATGACCTCATAGTATCCAGATGCTGGAGTGTGGAGAGTGAAGTCAGTTAGTCACTCAATGAACATTTACCATCCTCTTCTCTGGTCAGACTATTTTTGGAAGACTGCTCACTTCTGGGCACTCTGTTTTAGGAGGATGTCGGGAAGCAGCAGTGTTCCAAGGAAGGTAGTTGGGATGCTGCAGGGCTAATGTTCATGCCAAAGGAAGACCAGCTGAATGGATTTCAGACATTTACCCTGGAGAGGACATGCTGACTTCCAGAATTTACTGGAAGAGGAAAAGACTCAGGTAAGATATGGCAAGTGTCTGTACATATCAGAAGGTCTATCAAATGACGGAGGGTTTAGACTTGTTCTGCTTGGGTCTAGAGGGTGGATGTTTCAAAGAAGCAAACTGAGGGTTAACATAAGGAAACTGTAAGGGATGACTTCCCTAAAATGAGAGGAGTTATCCAAAAGTAGAACAGGCTACCTCAAGAGGGAATGGGGTCCCCATCGGTGGAGGTCCTTGAGCAAAGGACAGATGCTCACTTGGTGGGTGTGATGAAGCCCTTGGGCATCTTTTTGGCCAGGAATGAGTTGGATTCAAGACCCCCTGAGGTCCCTCCCAATTCTGAGATTCTGTGATCCTGTAAAAACCTGGGTTCAAGGCCAAGTCCTAGCTTAATTAATTTCTTTAGGCCTCAGTTTGCAAAAATGGGGACATCTAGATAGATCTATCTAAGCATAGGGAAGGGAAAGGTACAAAGGTATGACGATATGGTACAATAATGAGGATAATGACAATGATGAGGATGACATCTAGCCAACACTGGGCAGGGCTTTCTGGTAGCCAAAGCACTACAGAAAATACCTCCCCTAGTGAAAAATGAAAGTCTGAATGTGATACAAGATAGATCACTGGATAGGGAGTCACGAAGATCTGAGTTCCATCCCTCCCCCCCACTCCATTTACTAGCTTGCTTTGTATATATTTGTTGGCCTGTTGTTTCTCCCTTTAGATGGGAAGCTCCTTGAGGCCAGGGACTGTCTTTTGCTTCTTTTTGTATCCTCAATGCTTAGCATAGTGACTGGCACATAGTAGGCACTTAATCAATGTTTATCGACCGATTGGCTGCCTGCCTCACTTGGCTTTGGTTTGTATTTGTAAAACTTGGAGGCTTCTAGAAATGAGAAATCTTTGTTGGCTTAAAGTTTCATTTGATAACAACAGCCCATTTCTCCAGCCTGAGATTCATAAAGCCCTCTCCTCCCAACAGCCAAGTGTGACAGACCATGCTAGGATTATTATTCCCATTTTACAGAAGAGGAAACTGAGGCTCCCAAAAGAGGAGGTGATTTGTCCAAGGTCACACAGCCAGGAATAGTCAGGGAGGGGATTCGAACCCATCTGTTCCCCACTCCAAATCCACCAATCATCAATATTCTCAACGTAGTCCCAGTAGAATTGACATCGGGGATAGCTCCGGGCCCTTCCCCGGGGGAAGAGAGGACCGTAGCTTGTGGGGGGAGCCCTGGTTCTCCAGGACTGACCCGGGCCCTTCCCTTCTTCCAGCCCCAACCCCATCCATCCCCACCCCAACCCCCACCCCTACGCGCCGGGCCTCAGATCCCCGGGCTCGAGTGCTGCCAGCAGCCGAGGAAGGCCGCCGCTGAGCGGCCCAGACCAAGGCCAGCGCTGGCCTCCCCGGCTGCCCCAGCGTTCCGGCAGGAAGCGGGGCAGCGGAAGAAAGGCAGGGCGACCGGAGGGAAAGCGAGGGTATTTCTCGATCTCTCTCCCACCCTGGGCTTGGGATCCCAAACCATCCCCTCCCCCAGCCGCCGTTAGCGAGAGTTTGCAAATCACAGCTTGGAAACAGAGCTGCGCCCCCCCTTCCCTTCACCCCATAGCTCCCCAAGTTTCAGAGAAAGAAGGGAAATCCCCCCAAAGCCTTCCCAGCGTCCCCTTTCCCCCGGGCCGGAACCCCCCACTCCCCACCCCAGCCAGGCTCGGCAATAACTTTGAAACTTCTCGGCCATTTGGGGCAAGAGGCGTGTGGGGGGGTGGGCAGCCCTTCCCTCGAGGGGGAAGGGAAATTCCAAGCCTTCCCCCTCCCCGGACCCCGCAAACAGCCGCCCCGCCCCATTGCCCCCCACCCCCCACCCCAATCCGGGCTTTCTGGCTGTCTTCCTGGGCCGAAGGTGCCTCACACCCCTCCCCGCCAGGCCCCTTGGGACCGCACCCCGCCTCCTGCTTCGATTTCCCCCCCACACCCTCCTGCCAGGCTGCCTCCAAACTGGGGCCCCCAACTCACCGGACCCCACCCGGGTGAATTTCAGTGTTCGATTAAGAGGGGGGAAAAGCCTACACGACTCACCTTTCCTTGCTTGGCAGTCCCCCCACCGTGCCTACAACGGGCCTTGATAAGTGGTATAATATTACTAGAGATATTATTATTATATTATTATTAGTAATAATAAGAGTAAATGCTATTTAATTATCGAAGGAAGCATTTTGCTCCTGGAACTGCTGCCCAGGCAGCTCCCTCCATGTGGCCGCTTAGCCCTTTACTTTCATTTCCACGGCTCTCTCTCTCGCTCTCTCTCTGCCCCTCTCTCTCTCTCTGTCCCTCTCTCTTATTCTTTCTGTGTCTCGATCATAGCAGCCCCAACTGGAGAAAATGCTTCCCTGCAATTTCTCCCTGCGCCCTGGAGGGCCCCGGTCAGCCTTGTTCCCGACCCCCCGAGTTGTGCGAAAAACAGATCAGAGTCCCAGGGTCTCTCGTGGCTCTCGGTGGGATCGGAGGCAAAGACGTTGGGGGAGATTTCCCTTTCTGATTCCGCGAAAGTGTGGGCCATTTTTTTTAAGTTTACATATTTCTTTTTAAACGCAAGGAGGTTTTTAATGGAATTTCCTTTTTAACACCTTGGAATTTCAGACCTGAAGTTTCCCGAAATATTCTCATTCTTCCTGAATAGCTACAAGGGTTCTTAACCTTTTCTGTGGCCTGGGCCCCCCAGGCCCAGTGAAACCTTCTCAAGGTTTTTAAATGCATCCAATAAAATACTTAAGATTAGAAAGGAAACCAATTATCTCTTAATAAAGATGCAAATTTTCTCCCCAGTCCAGTTCACTCCAGGTTAGGGACCCCTGCTATAAGCATCCTAAGGGGCAGAGTTGGCATGGACCAGTTACAGTAGCTCCCCCCCCCCCATTTTTTACAGATAAAGAAACAAGCCTGGAGGAGGGAAGGCATTGGAACATGAGCTGCGTGTGTATCTAGTTCCATTCAACAAACATATAGTATCAATTTTAAAAAAAACAATCTATTGATGCTCTTGGTGACATTTAGGGAAGGGGGGGAGGGGAGTATATGCCTTTTCTTTTTTGTTGAGTTGTGAATCAGTCCAGCCAGAAAATTCTGGAAAGTAATTTGGAACTATGCTTCAAAAGTCACTAAATTGTGCATATCTTTTGACCAATCAATATCACTTTTTTTAAAAATCACTTAAAAAACCCTGCCACTTCACCATCAACAATTGTCACCTTCCTTTTTTTGTCAACTTTGCCAATCTGATGTATATGAGGTAGAGACTCAGCCTTATACCTGAAAGAGATAAAAGAAAACAACTCATGCACAAAATATTTATAACAGCCCTTTTTTTGTTATAGCAAAGAAACGGAAACTAAGGAGTGCCTATCCATTGGGAAATGCCTAAACAACTTGTGGTGTGTGTATACATACATGTATATGGTATACACATAGCCATATAATAATATGGAATATTTTTTCAATATAAGCAATGACAATAGAGGTGGTTTCAGTGTAACTGAACTTGTATTAACTAAGTGAAGTGAGCAGAATCAGAACAATTTCTACAATAACAACATTGTAAAGACAAACTTTGAAAGACTGAAGAACTCTGAGCAAAGCAATGACCAATCACAATTCCAGAGGCCCAAGGATAAAATGCGGGCTAGCCACCCCCCAAGGCAAGAGGGAATGGCTTCAGGATGCAGACTAGACCTACATTAAATTTGGGACGCAACCAGTGGAGGAATTTGCTTTGCTTCATTGTGCGTGTTTGGTACACAGATTTTTTTTCTTTTTCTTTTCTGATGGGTGAATGGAGAGGGAGAAAAAATAGATTTTTGTTCATTCAAATAATTACATGTAAAAAAAAACATATCAGAGAACAGAAGGAAAGAATCACAAAGACAGTTTTGAAAGTTAAGTGTTAAATTTATCATCATTCACATGTTAAAAGAAAAGCAGGACTCGCATAACAGAGATATATGTATAATGATTTTTTTTCTGTTCTACCGTGTATGTGAAAATGCTCCCCCCTTTTTTGGGGAAAGGGTATTAAGTTCAGAATAAAAATAAATATTTTTAAAGAACCAATTACATGCAAGGTACTGACCTAGCCTTTGTTTGGGGTGAGCTTATACTCTTCTGAGAAGACACAGCATTTAACAAGCATTATTAAGCACCTACTGAGTGCCAGGCGCTCAGAATACAAAGAAGAGCAAAGCAATCCCTGCTCTCAAGGAGTGAGACAGTGTATACGAACATACAAACATATATTATAAACACATGCCATGGCTTTAGGGAGCTCTTGGGGAGGAACTTCCTTACCAAAAAAAATCAGCACCTTTTCTGTGCTCAGAGAGAGTCGTTTGGGACAATGAAATTAAGTGACTTGCCCAGGGTCACTCCACCAGAGACAAGGCTTAACCCCATATCTTCCCTGACTCTAGTAGGGGTCATTATCCACTCTGCCCTGGAGGCTCTTCATGTGTATAAATTTATACAGAGTATATACAAAGGTGGGAGGTAGAGAAAGTCTATTCAAACTCATATCTAGTCATTTCAAAGAGGATTAATCCACGAGTCTTGCTTAAGTGAGGATAACATGCCAGGAACAAGAGCCCATTTCATGGGTGAAAAAAACAGGTAACTGATGTGACTTTCCCAAGGTCACACAGGTTATGAATAGCAAAACCAGGATCTGAACTGGACTCTTCTAACTCCCTTTCTGTTGTTCTTTCTTTATTTAAAAAAAAAAGTCATTCTGAACTTTGTTGTTCAGTCACGTCTAACTCTTTGTGGCCCATGGACCATAGCTGGCCATGGGATTTTCTTGGCAGAGATCCTGGAGTTGTTGGCCATTTCCTTCTCCAGTTCATTTTACAGATGAGGAAACCGAGGCAAAGAACAGTTAAGTGACTTGCCCTGGGTCGCACAGCTAGTAAATGTCTGAGGCTGGATTTGAACTCAGGTCTTCCTGACTCCAGGCCAAGTGCTCTATCTACTGGGCCATAGTTGCTCTTTTGGCACTACACGTATCTATATAGGAGTCCTTTTGTCCTTTGATCTCCTTTGATCTCATAGGCCTGCCAGTGGTATTGCTGGCTCGAAGTCACAGTTTAGTGACTTTGGGGGGCATAATTCCTAATTATTTTCTGAAAGAGCTGGACCAACAATTCACAGCTACACTGACATACAGTAGTTGGCCTGTTTTCTCTTAGCCACTCAAATAATTCTCGTTTTCCTTCCCTGGCCCCATCTTTGCCAGCCTGATGATTGTGAGATGTAATCTCAGAGCTGCTTTAATTTTCATTTCTCTAATTGTTAGTGATTTGGACCATTTGAAAAAATATGGTTGTTGATAGCCTGGATTTCTTCTTGTGAAAATTGCCTGTTTGTATCCTTCTGATGCTTTTTGCACTGAACAATACTATCTCTCATGTCCTTTCTTGGGACTTTACCCCAACAATTCCTTGAGAAGGTGCCCTTAACCCTTGCTCTATCTACTCACAGGATCATAAAATAGTAGTAATAACAAGAGCTAGAATTTAGATAGCACTTTAGGGTTTGCAAAGCACTTTACACAGGTTGTCACATTCGATTCAACAATCCCATGACTTGGGTGCTGTTATTATATTCATTTTATACATGAGGAAAGTGAGGCTCACACAGGTTAAGGCACTTGCCCAGGGTGACACAGCTAGTCAGTATCTGAAGCCAGGTTTGAATTGAGGTCTTCCTGCCTCCAGGCTCAATGCTGTATCCCTTGTGCCACCAGCTGCCTCTAATGACACAAAAGAAAATAACTATTAATCACTTAGAACAAATAGTTTGGATGGCCCTGACCTACCTGCCAGGGCATGATGGATATTGAAAGAAATGTACTTATTTCAATCTAAAATACAGGAGACTTCCCCTTGAGGGGTGATGAATATGTTAGAAGAAAAGATCTGAGCCCCTGGGTAGGTCCTCTTGTGTGCCAGGCCAAGGGCCTGACAAAGACCTGAAAATATGCTTGATCAGCCCCCAAGTATGTTGGCTGGGAAGTCTCAGAAAAGGGTGCTAACATTCCCTTCAAGGAAGCCCCAGAAGCAACTGATAATTCCATCAGAAGTCAGCATCAGCCTGACGAAGAAACACTTAGCAAGCAGCAGCTTTAAGAGAAGCAGAGAGAGGTCACAGCCTCAGAGGAAACGTGATGTATACTAAGAGTATGTTCCCTCTCCCATGGGCATCATGGGAATGTGTGGGAGAAGGTACCCATATATGTGGGTATTGTGTAAGGGCGAGGGGTTTCTCCAATACCTACTTTGTTATTCTTAATTAAAAGCTTTGCTATTTGATTCATGAGCTCTTCATGGAGAATTATGACACCCCTAAATACCACTTTATGTTGTCACCAACAAACATATCACTTCACAGTTCTAATGTACTTTGTGGTTTACAAAATGTACCTATAACTCAGTGTTTTCTCCCTCCTCGAATGTTCTTGAGAAATTCCTTTAGGTCTTTATTTTGTTCCCATCACTCCCAACTTTGCATTAACTTCTCTATGTATAGGATTCTGTGCCATATCCCTGCCCTCCCCTCCCCCACCTCATGTGTGTATTGCATAACAAAATGGCTCTGCTCGGAATTTAAGTTTATTATAATCTTTATGTAATCTGTCATCTTTTATAATTATGATTATTAGATAATAACTTTATAGTTTGCTATAATTATATTAAGCCATAATGGTTTACTATAATTATAATCCTTCTCCTGCTCTTCCCCATATATCACATCATATCTCCCCTCTTCAGCCTTTGCACTAGCTCTGGCCTCGCTGCCTGGAATTCTCTTCCTCCTTACCTCCACCTTTTGGAGTCCATGGTTTCATTCAAGACTCAAGTCCAGGGCCTCCAGCATAGGACTTTCCCAGAGTGTTCCCCCCACCCTCACCCCCTGTCCAGCTGTTGATGCCTTTCTTTCCAAGGTTACCTTATATCTGCTTTGTATATGCTTTGTATATACCTGTAATTTGTACATGCATGCATATATGTCTATGTTGTATGTACATTTATATGTGCAGACGCTTTCTGACCCATTAGAATATAAATTTCTTGAAGGCAAGAACTGTTTTGATTCTGTTCTTGTATCTCCAGCACCTGGTCCCCTGCTTGACACACAGAAGAGACTTAATAAATGCTTGCTTGCCTCCAGCCCATTTTTTCAGACTGATTTGTTATTATTCCCTCCATGTTCTGCATGATCCAGATCAAGTGTCTGGTTTGCTGTTTCCATATCCTGTGTTGAAGAAAAATATTAATACTCTATTTGGGACACATCTGGTGCAAACAATTTAAATTAATTTATTGTTATTCTACATCTAAGAGTTTTTAGCTAAGAAAGAGAAATTGGCATAGTCCCTCCTTCCCCTTGCCCCCCCACCTCCATAATCTCAGACTACTCTCTCAATCCCAAGACAATTTGAGGTAACATTAATAGTAATTTTGAACAAGGAAAAGTCAGGACATTTTAAAAGGCAGATTGGGGTTAACATTCTAGAACAGTAGTCACTTAATCATTACCCAGAACTACTCAGTTCCTTCCTTGACTAACACCCCCCCACCTCCATTCAAAAGGTCTCTTCCCTCAGTAGCAAAATGTTTTTTTGAATGAAAAAAGGGAGCACTTCCCTTGGGTAGATCATAGCCTTGCTTCAAAAGATGGGGAAGGCAAAGGTCTTACTAAGACAAAAGGTATTTCTTTTTTTTTTAAATTTTATTAATTTGTTTTGATTTATCAATAAACACTTCCATATGTTTTTCAGTTTAAAATTTTTCTCCCCCTTCCTCCCCACCACCCTCCCCAAGACGGTGCACAATCTGATACAGGCTATACATTTACATTCCTATTAAACATACTTTCACATTAGTGGTGTTGTAAGTAAAAATTGAAACCAATAGGAGGAACCATCAGAAAGAGGAAACAAAACTCAACAGAAGAGAAAAAAAATAGGAATTCAACTTCCATAGTTCTTTCTTTGGAAGTGGACAGCATTTTCCATCCCGAGGCCTCTGGACATGTCTTAGATCCTTGTATTGCTGGGAAGGGTTAACTTTATCAGTATTAGTCATTGCACAACATGGCTGTTATTGTATAGACAAAACGTATTTCTCCATCTACCTTAATATTATTTCTTAATATTTTCAGTTGATGTGCATCCTCTTTGACCCAATAATACTGCAATGAGGTCTAAACTCCAAAGAGATCAAAGAAAAAGAGATTGTGTGTGTGTGTGTGTGTGTGTGTGTGTGTGTGTGTGTACCAAAAAATATTGATAGCAACTCTTTTGTGGTGGCAAAGAATTGGAAACTGAGGGGATGTTTATCAATTGGGAAATGGCTGAATGAGTTACGATATATGATTGTGATAGAGGACTACTGTGCTGTAAGAAATGACAAAGGCAATGGTTTCAGAAAAATTTGGGAAGACTTATATGAACTGATACAAAGTGAAGTGAGCCGAACCAAGACAATGTTGCACATAGTAACAACATTGTAATGATGAGATGCCACTGTGAAACTTAGCAACTCTGATTGATACAATGAACCACAACAGTTTTCTTCCCTTTTTTCTGCCACATGGCTAATGTGGAAATATGTTTTGTAAAACTTCATGAGTAGCACATTGCTTGCCTTCTCAATGGGTAATGGGTGTGTGTATGAAAGGAGAGAATTCAGTACTGAAGATAAAAATAAAAAAACAAAAACAATTTTCCGTTGAACTTAAAGGGGGATCTTAATATGCTTTGACCCCTGTTTCCACATCTTTGTCCACAGGCTACACCCATTCCTGGAATGTTGTCTCTCATCTTGGCTTCTTGGAATCCCCAGTTCCCTTCAAGATTCATCTGGAGTGCCACCTCCTGTAAGAAGCCTTTTCTGGTTCACCCATTTATTACTGTCCCCCAACCTCTAATTACTTTTTATTTATCTTACATGTAACTCAACTTCCCTCCAAGTAGTATGGGGGAGGTCAGCCCAGTGTTGCCTGCAATGTATAGAGGGGGAATATGACTTCTGATTAGCTGAGAGAATGCTGTGCTCGACGATGCATGCCTGGTTGAGGTACTTACTGACTCGTTTACAGACACTCTTGGGACATGGACCAACAGCATTCCAGAGAATGTCTTTCTTTTTTCCTTTCCCTTTCAGTGAAGAGAATGACTTTGGAATGGAAGGTATGCATGGGAAGCTGGCCCCATCATGTTTGAAATTCTAGAGACTACCAGAATGGACCTCATCTGATTGAAGATGTTCATTCTCTCTCATGGTTTGAGCTGAGATCTTAATTCAATCTCAACTGAAGAAGTGGTTCATTTTTGTATATTTCTTGGCACATTCTAAACTGTATAACTTGTCTGATTTCTGTTTTCTTGGATAAATGGATTTATTTCCTATTCATTATTTGTGATGGTGTTTTGTGTAACTAGCATTTAGCAACTCCCCTTTAAGAGTCACCAGGGAAGTGGCTTTCTTTCTGAACCCAGACTCATACTCCTAGATCAGAGATATTTGAGAAGGGCAGATAGATATGATTCTAGACAGTATTCCTCCTCAACACCGAAGCAAAGAACATCCAGCCTCAGCCTGCCTGTACCTCCCCGTTAGCCATCAAACTGACGGTATAGGCACCACCCTTGGCTCTCTTCCTCATTGCAGGATCATCTTTTATAGTTATCTCTCCATGACCTATTGTTTTCTTCTCTATAGAATGTAAGCTTCTAGAGGGTAGGGACAGTTTCTTTCTTTCTTTTTTTTTTTTGTCTTTGTATCCCCAGTGCCTAGCACAGTACTTGACACACTTAGCATTCTGATAAACATTTATTGACTGATATGTACTAGTATCTACCTGAATGAGACACTGTTATGACTGATGTTTGGTTCAAATAACACACACATACATGTCCCCTGGTCCTTGAAGAGATAACAATTCATCTTATTTCCCTAACATTCAAATATCTCCTAGTGTAAGGTGAGCAGATTAAATACATTTGGTGGGCTAGCAAAACTTCAGAACTTGTTTGCAAAACTACCTATAATCATAACAATAGTGAATATTTCTATAGCTCTTACCATGTACCAGCACCATGCCAAATGCTTTACAATTATTATTTCATTTGATCCTCATAACAACCTAGAGGGTAGGGACTATTATGATCCCCATTTTACAGATGAGGAAATTCAGGCAAACAGGGTTAAATGTCCTTGGTTGCACAGCTAGCAATGTCAAAAATCATATTTGAACCCAGATCTTCTTCAATCCAAGCCCAACCAGCCAGTCAACACCCATTTATTAACAGCCTCACTGGCCTATTCTATTCCAGGATGTGTGAGGAGCTGGTGACAGATAAAAAAGATATGAGCAAAACTTAGCCCCTGTCCTCAGGGAGCATGCGTTATATCAGGGAGACAATTATGTGGATGTATGGGGCGGGGGGGATGGGGGGAAGAGGAGTGGAGGAGAAGAAGAGAGAGAGGCAGAGAGAAAAAGAAAGAGAAAGCAAAAGGCAGAGAGAAAGAGAGAGAGAGAGAGAGAGAGAGAGAGAGAGAGAGAGAGAGAGAGAGAGACAGAGACAGAGAGAGAGAGAGGAAAGGAGAGGAGAGGAAGAGACAGAATAAAAAATTCTATATACAGAAATGTATACACACGACATACATGTATATATATATAGCATATATGTCTCTATGTAATCACTGCATCATGGTGTCCCATAAATTAAACTATTCAATGAAAATATCTTATTTAAATCATTTATGTATTTTTCATTGCTAAGAAAAAACAAATCCATATGAAAAATTACACTTAAAATAAATACATAAGTGCTCCCTGAAATCTGTATAATCATAAAAAATTATGACAATAGAAGCTAATCGGGGTGATTGTTGTTCTTCCTTACTCATTTTTTTGCACCCTTGGAGTTAACAGTGTCACTGGAGGTTATAGGACCAGATGCCAGCCAATTTTTTTGCTTTAATTTTGCTTTTGGTGGGATGGTTTCTGCTGAAAGCAATTCAAAGAGCCCCAAGAGTTGGGGCCTTTCCAAGTGATTCTTCAACTAATAAATCTCCTTTAAAAGACTTCCTTTGGCATTTTAATTCTAAAGTTTTTCATTCAGGAAAAAGTGGGAGTTGGTTTGTTTTCGAAGTCTGCATGTTTTGCCTTTAAATATTAAGAGTCTGTTGGCTGGTTTTGCTCCGTGGGCCACCCCAAGGCTGGTCTTAATGAACTCTGTGACTCAGGCCAAACAATGCAGATGATTTAGAAATCTCCATCATCAGATCAAGGGACAAAACTGAATTTGTTCAGTTCAAGCAGACAATCACATTCAGTGGGTGGTGGGATGGAGATGAACTTTAAATTTTTGAGTCACTGTTATTTAAAAAACCCAAAGGAAGGGTCTGTCCTATTTTCTACCTGCTTACTTTAAAAGCTCTGGTCATATTAACAGTGGCATTTCTGTTCATCCCAAAGAATACATTAGACAAACTTTTCTGATCAAAATCCCTGAGTGAAGTCAGTAAAAACCAGAGTATCTGCCTGGCACAGCCCTTAGCCACAGAGCCTAGTGCATCCAATAGCTGATGGAGGGGCACAGCATAGAGGCATACTCAGCAAATGATCTTTCCCAGCCAAAGTTCCAAGACTTGATTGGGAACTGGGGTATATTCATTTCATCTTTCAAGAGTTCTGTAAATGCATGAGTAAAGGAAAAGTGAGCAGGTGGCTACAGGAGACCTGGATTCCATGACCTCTTTGACTTCAGAGGGTAACTAGCCATGGAACCAGGACCTGAAAAGTCCTGCCCCTTCTTTGGTCCTCAGTCTCCTTCTCTGCAATATGGGGGCAATATTTATCTTTCTGGACTTTCACTCCTAAGATTCTTAGGAGACTCAGATAAGGTCAGAGCAAGAGTTGGAAGAGACCTCACAGGCCCATGAATCCATTCAGGACCTGAACCAGGAGCCCCTGGACAATACATCCTTATTACTGCTCTCCCAGCCTTTGCTTGAAGACCTTCCTAGGTAGAAGAAACCCACCCCCTGTGAAATTCCATCTCACCTTTGGACAGCTCCAATTATTAGGAAGTATTTCTTTATACTGAGCCTAAGTCTGGCATCATTTAGAACAGGGAGGCACCTTAGAGATCACCCAGTCCAACGTCCTCATTTTCAGATGGGGAATCTGAGATTATGTATATCAAAGTCACTATATGAAAGTTGTTATAAAGGTAGTAATTATCAAAACTATCTCGTACAGGCTAAGAAGTAGAAAGGTAGATGAGTGGAACAGAGTAGACATGCAATCTACAGCAGTAAATGAATATAGTAACCTTGTGTTTGACAAATGTAAAGACTTCAGTTTCTGGTATAAATTGTTGGGAAAGTAGTGGGAAAGTAGTCTGGCAGAAATTGGGCATAGATCAATTATCTTACACAGTTTGCCAAGATAAGGTCAAAATGAATATGTGATCCAGATATAAAGAGAGATATAACAAGGAAATTTGAAGAACATGGAACATATTACTTATTGGACTTACAGATAAGCAAACAATTTATGAATAAACAAGAGAGAGGGCAGAGTGAGGTATAAAATGGATAATTTTGATTACATTAAATTAAAAAGGTTTTGAACAAATAAAACATATGTAGCCGAGATCAGAAGGAAAGCAGAAAGTTGAGGGGGGAAATTTTATAAATTTTATAGACAGCTTTTCAGATAAAGGTCTCATATCTCAAATATATAAAGAACTTTGTCAAATCTCTAAGAATATAAGTCATTCCCCAATTGATACATGGTCAGAGGATATGAACAGGCAGTTTTCCAGTGAAGAAATCAAAACAATTTATAGTCATATGAGAAAATCTAAATCATTATTGATGAAATACAAATTAAAACATTAACTATACTCATTAGATCATAGATTTAGAGCTCCCAGGAACCTCAGAGGCCATCTAGAACAACCTTTTCATTTTTTTTTTAACAGATAAGAAAACGAAGGCAGAAGTGAAGTGACTTGCCTAAGATCACACAGCTAATAAGTGTCTCAGGCAGGATTTGAACCAGGTACTTTCCTTTCTCCAGATAGATAGCCCTACCCAGGGCTTAGCTAGCACAGCACCTTGAACACAATAAGCATATAAGTGCTTTTGACAATTGAGCCACAATCACTATGTCTCTTGAATTCACAAGCTATGGTATCTCATTATCTATGGCCCTTATGAATTACTGCAATTGGGAAACAGGGGAGTTGGACCCTTCCTTTTTACAGATGAGGAAACTGAGGTCCAGGGAAGAAAAATACTCAATGTCACAGCACTAGTTAGTAACAGAATGAAAGGCACCAAGGGAAACATATACATAGTAGAAATGGCTGTGGGCTGGAGTCAGGACACCTGAGGTCAGGTTTGGTTTCTGGCCTTATTATTATTATTAGCTGGTTGGCCAGGTGGCAAATTCCTTTCCTGCCTACCTCATAAAGACTCTGTGAGGATGAAATGAGATCACTGCATTTAGAGCTGGAGAGGACTGTAGAAACCAGTCAGTAACTCATTTTACAGATAAGAAAACTGAGGCTCAGAGACAAGTGACTTGTCTGTGGTTGAATAGGCAATGTGAGTGCCAGAGACTGTCCTGGAATTCAGGTCCTCACCTCCCAATCTGGAGTTCTTTCCAGTCCACCAAGCTGTATGTGTTCAATTCTGCGCACTAAAGATCTTGAGATATTGAGAAGATGGGCAGGCTCCAGCCATCATCCACCAGGATGGGGAAGGGCCTCTAACTCACTGGTTGAAGGAGCTGGGGATGCTCAGCCTGGAGAAGATGGCGGGGGGTGGGGGGAGACATGAAAGCTGTCTCTGGGTATCAGGTAAGGGATGTTAGCCTCATTCTTCTTGATTAAAGAGGGCAGAGAGGCACAGTGGGGAAAGGGAGGGAGAAAGCAGAATGAGGGACATTTAGGTCCATCCTAAGACTAACCAGAGGAAGCTAAGTGGCACAGTGGCTAGAGTCAGAAACCAGAGTTCAAATCTGGCCTCAGACACTTGTTAGCTGTGTGACCCTGGGCAAGTCACTTCACCCTGTTTGCCTCAGTTTCCTTATCTGTCAAGTGAGTTGGAGAAGACAATGGCAAAGCACTCCAGTAACTCTGCCAAAAAAACCCCAGATAGGGGTATGCAGAGTCAGAAATGACTGATCGACAACAACAGAATTCAGGATTTGACCAACTGTTTTGCTGAGTGTCTAAACTTAATAAAAAGATGGAGAAAATGTTAATAATATGGGACAGCTTGGGGCACAGTGGATAGAGCTCTAGCATGGAGTCAGGATGACTTGAGTTCAAATCCAGCCTCAGACACATAACACTCACTAGGTTGTGTGACTCTGGGCAAGTCACTTAACCCCAATTGCCTCACAAAAAACCAAACAAAACAAAACAGAAAAACAATCTCAAGTTAATAATGCAAATTAAACTTAAAAGTGTAGCTTGGGTATTTCTCCTCCTCCTCCTCCTCCTGTGGTCAAGCATTTCACCAGCACACCTCTGCCTCCCCCTCGTTGGGAGTCTTCTAGCGAAGGCTAGAGAATCATCTCAGGTTCTGAAGTCACAGAAGGGATTTTTCTTCAGGCACAGCTTGGTCTAGTGACTGGAAGCTTTTTCTTCCAGCTCCCAGAGTCTTTGGTCCTGGGAAGTAAGAGGCTCTGTTTGTTGTAAAGGGTTTGGAGAATTGCTGAAGATACAGCTCCCCTGCCCATTGTTGGGTTCCATGGCTGTGCTGGGGGATGGATGGCTCCTTGCCCAAGGGACACAAGGTGTTACCAGCCACTTGGAGACCATGAAAAGCAAACCCTAGAGGTAAAGGGAAAGATTTGCTCACCTTGGGAAGAAGGGCCAAATCACTTCTATGTACAAGGTACTATGCCAAGTGCTGGGGGTACAGCAAAAGCACCCCCTACCCCCAAGGGACTTGCATTCTTTTTTTTTTTTTGCTTTTTGGTGAGGCAATTGGGGTTAAGTGACTTGCCCAGGGTCACACAGCAAGTATTTGAACTCTGGTCCTCCTGACTCTAAGATCAGAGCTCTATCCACTTTGCCATTTAGCTACCCCAAGAGGCTTACATTCTAATGACAACATGCAAACTATAAATGCTAGCCCTCACCACGCAAAACAAATCTGCGTGTCCAAGATCTAGACAAGGTAAATGGAAAGTAGGTTTAGATCTAAGATTCTGCAACTTTGGGGAAGATACTACCTCCCTGGGTCTATGAGGGAGCCAGCCTTGACGTCCTCCCAAGACCCTTCTGGTTCAAGATGCAGGAGCCTACAAACAGTCATAGAATGTGACAGGCCCCTGAAGCCTGAGGATCTTTGTGAAGGATTCATTTCCACCAGCTCAGGTGACTACCCTGGCCCAGGAACTGCCTGTATTCACTTTGGAATGCCTGTACGTACTTGACTAAACAAGCCACTCCAATTTACCTTGTTACTGAAGAAAGCTTTGTTGTGTCTGACGTTAATTTTGAAAAGCAAAACCCTCATTTGGGAGTTTCCACTCTTTTGCCTCCATGGAAAAGAAACACATTTAAGTGAAATTTCCCTATAAAGCATTTGCTTGACTGGCCATGTTCCTGATCAACTGGACCCCATTCAACAGCCCAGGTGTCCCCCCCCCCTTATTTATTTATTTAGTTTTCATCATTCACTTCTATAAGATTTTGGATTCCAATTTTTTTCCCTCCCCTCCTTCCCTCCCCCCTCCCCAAGATGGCAAGAAATCTGACATAAGTTATATGTGTACAATCATATTAAATGTATTTCCACACTAGTCATGTTATGAAAGAAGAATCAGAACAAAAGGGAAAAACCACAAGAAAGAAAAAGCAAAAAAAAAAAAGAGCAAACGGTAGGCTTCGATCTGCATTCAGGCTCCATAGTTCTGTCTCTGGATGTGGACAGCATTTTCCATGATGAGTCTTTTGGAATTGTCTTAGGTGGTTGTATTGCTGAGAAGAGCTAAAGCTATCATAGCTGATCACTGAACAATGTTGCAACAGTCCAGTTTTTACCAGGTCCGTCGAGGCCTTTGGTCTTTGGGATTTATTAGCATGTATTTGGCATTCCCAGTGTTTGTGCTGTTCCACCTCCCCTCCTCCCAGAATGGAAGGTCCTAGAGGGCAAGTGCTGTATTTCCTTTTTGTCTTTCTTTTTGTCTCCACTGATATTTCCAGCGTCTGTTGAAGTCCCCGGAACATCATAGGCTCTGAATTAATGTCTTTTTTAAAATTATGAACTTAGTCATCAATGAACACTAACATTCCAGTGCACAAAGAACCCCCTCTTAAAGAGGAGGGTATATGAAAATGCAGTTCAGTTAGCAGTTTGGCATTTGTTTGCTTTGTAAGTATATAGCAAATGTAGCTAGGTGGTTCAGTGGTAGAGCAGTGGGCCTGGCATCTGGAAGATCTGCATTCAAATCCAGCTGTTCCAGCCCTGGGCAAGTTACTTAACTCCTCTTTGCCTCAGTTCCTCATCTGTAAAATGGGAACACATTGGAGAAGGAAATGGCAAACCATTCCAGTATCTTCGCCAAAAAAACCCCGCTAAACGACATCAAATGTAACAAAGTGGTAACAAAATCGCCCTCTTTGTGTCTCCTGGATTTTTCACTTTCCTCTGCACATTGTTGGTGTTTTATCAATACTTGGTGCTGTCATTATCCACTAACTTATCTTGCCACCAGGAAAGAAGCTCCCTCCCCCTTATAATAAACAAGGAAAACGAATAAACCCATTGACCGTAGTTGGACATGAACAGGTGACATCCACCCCTTGCTCATGTGGAGGGAGTCAGGCTTCACGGTCAGTCCTCGATGGGGTGTCCCAGTGAAGACTCCTCGGTGTAATTAAGTGGGATGAGGGGTCCTGTGAAGACTTTTTAGAAGAATAAATAGAAATTGTATGGTGACTCAAGGCAGGCATAGAAGTCCAACATGCCTAAGTTTCGGTTTACTAGAAATCACCTGAGTCACGGGAATCCAACCCCAAGTACCCCCCCTTCCTATGCCATTGTTATATCAGTAGTTAAAGTTTGCCGAGCCTGAAACTCCTGAAGAAGCCCCCCCCCCATCTTGTTGTACCTGTTGCTATATTTCCGTCACGGTGACCTGGCTGTACAGTACCATGTCTAGCTTGACTGCACATCTTTAATTGCTTCTCTGGGATTACTTCAGCAAACTAAGGGGCTAAATAGAGACATGTATACTGTTCTCTTTGTTTTGTTTTCTGTTTCCACAGATTGTGAGCCAAAACATTGGCCAGTTGGTGGGAGGGGGGATTTGCCCATTAGGGCTCTTTAATCTGGTTCTTCTGCATCTGTAGTCTGTCTCCCCTCATCAGAGCATTCTGGTGGAGTGACACCCTATTCTCTTGAATAGTAAATAAATTAACTTTCTGTTTCTCCTTGAAAAAACTCTAAGTGTGTTTTTTAATTTGAGTGGCATCCCACACAGTCCCCTAAATCAGAACTAATTAGTCAGTGGCAGACCAGAGTTCTGAAGTCTTTTAAAGGTCCTTTTTTTTTTTCTCTTTACATTACCATTGTTTTCCTGGTTCTGTTCATTTCACTGGGTCTCAGTTCACAAGAGTCTTCTCAAATTCCTCTTAATCTCCCATATTCCTTATTTCTTTTAACAATAATTCCCATCACATTAATATGCCACAATTTGTTCAACCATTCCATATACATATGTTTTTGGTTTTGTTTTTTTGCTAAAGTTGTTGCTATGGTTTTGTATATTTTAGTCCTGTCCTTCTGGTCTTTGGGGTACACACAATCAGTGACTTGGGGACTAGGGGGTAAAATTGGATTCCAAACTGCCATACTGATCCACAGCTCCACCAACAATGTATTAGCACGCCTCCCTTCCCCGATGTCTCCAACAATCGCCATTTTGTCTTGTCATCTTCGCCAATCTGACTGACATAAGATGGAAGCACACAGTTGTTTTCATTGGCAGTTCTTTCATTATTAATGATTAGGGGCATTTTTCACTGGGGTCTCGGTTCGCTCCTTCTGACCACTTCCGTAACAGCGCGTTCTCCAGGTTGCCCCTCCTCCCCAGCTACGGGCAGTCCCCTCTTTGCGGACCATCCAGAACGGAGCCAACGCCCCCATCCTCGCTTTAAGGAATAAAAGAGGTTGAGAGTCAGCCACCAGAGGGAGCCCCAGCGCTTGGATTTTGTCCGTCAAGTTTGTAAATAAAGTTGTTGACAGTCGGCCGCGGCGAGGATAGAAGGCGGCGAGCGGGCCTAGCCCCGGCGCACCTCGGGAATGGTAGTCTCCTCGCCCAGCCCACGAGCCAGTCCGATGGTCGATGATCTCGCGGGAACGAGAGGAAATCTAAAAGGGAAGGGAGGAAAGCCGGCTTGTGGCGCGCACTGCTCTATGGGTACTGTAGTCAGAAAGGGGTGCGGCTCCTAGGACAAGCCGAAGGGGCAGAACTACACTTCCCGGCTCCCCCGGCCCGTTGGCGGAAAAGACAGCCGGCGGAGAGGCCCTGAGCAAATCAGATCGCAGGAAAGAAACTGCCGGCTTTCAAAAATTCTCCCTCGCCGCCATCATCGATCGGCGGCCTGGAGGCGCAGGTGCTGTTGGCGGAGACTGGGGCGAGACGCGTGTGAGTCTGTGTTTGTGTGTGGGAGCGTGTGTACCCGCGCCCGAGGAGTGGGAGGGAGTGAGCGAGCGAGGAGGGTGGGCTGCTGTCGGTCACCAGCCTATCGTGACGCGGTGTTACGCCGCCGCCTCCTGCGCGCCCCTCGGCTCCCGCGTGTGGATTCCCTCACCCCCTTCCCCCAGCGCGCGACCCCCCCCTTTTCCTCCCCCCCTTCCCGGGGAGAAGCCTTGCGCGTGCGCAGGACGGCGGCGAGCGCGAGGTCTGAGGCCGCCGCCGCCGCTGCCGCTGCACGAGGCGCCCGTAGCTCGGCCGGCGCACGTAAGTCCTGCGGCTCGCGGGGACCCTTGGGGCAGGAAGCGGAGGGGGAAGAGGGCCCGCCCCCGGCCGCATCTGCGTCCGCACTTGCCTCTGCCGGGGGTGGGGGGGGGAGGCCCAGAGGTGGAACAGCAAAGCGATTCAAAGCTGGAAGGGGCCGTAAACATCACAGGGCTCAACCTCTACCTTTTACAGCTAGGGAAACTGAGGCCCAGAGAAGGGAAGGGTCTTGACCCCAGAGTACCCAGCAAGTAGTAGTGGTCCATTCCGGGACCTGAGCCTGGACGGATTTTTTTGCTAGAGCACGTTCAGTCTCGAGGACTCTTGGACTCTTGGAGGCGGTGGGTGGGGGTGGAGTTCTAGGCTCATCGAGACTTTGGGGAGCCTTTTCGAAGAAAGAGACCGAGGCCAGAGAGGACCCCACCCCAGGTTGCCTGCACGCTCAGGGCCTTGAGCCTCGCTCTGCTGACTCCCCAAACCTAGGGATTTTTTTCCCTGCTGCATCATCTTGTCTCAGGTTCATGGATGTTACATCATGCAGAGAGCTCAGAGCCTGTTGGCTTTAGATCAGATCCTCAAAGAAGACCGAAGCCCGGGGACGCTGGAAGGGACCTTTAGCAACCGTCCAGCCCAGCCCCCAGCTTGTACAGAGGAGAAAACCGAGGCCCCCGAGTGTAGGTGGCCTGCCTGCTGTCCCCCGGGTCGTACTAGTGGGAGAGTCAGAGCCACGGCCCTTGGTTCTAGTTCCTGCGTTCAGAGGCTCCAGGCCTGGAGAGGGCATCAGTTCAACTCCCTCGTTTTGTAAGGGCGGATACTCCACATTCTGAAAGTCCCCAGTGTTTCTGGGAAGACCTGGGGCTCAGCCTGGCTTTCTCTCCCAGGGATTCTCCTTCAGTAACTGCCATTGTGCCCCTCTGTGCCCTCAGCTCCCCACCATCGTGGAACTGGGCTTGTTTATCACAACCAGCATTTTACACACACACACACACACACACACACACACACACACACACACACACTGTCTCTCTGGGCTTGTTTACCACAACCAGCATTTTACACACACACACACACACACACACACACACACACACACACACACACACTCACACTCACACTGTCTCTCTCTGGGCTTGTTTACCACAACCAGCATTTTACACACACACACACACTCACACTGTCTCTCTCTCTGGGCTTGTTTACCACAACCAGCATTTTACACACACACACACACACACACACACACTCTGCTTTCTGTACTGCATAGGTAAGCTCCCTGAGGACAGAGCTTTTTCATTTTGTGGGGCAGCCATCCCAGCACCTTGGACAGTGCCTGGGACAGGCAGAGGCTTCACAAATGCTAGCTGCTTGCTCATGGCTCCAGAAGCATTTGTCGGGGGGCTGCTTAGGTCCAGTTCATGTGCTAAGCCTCGCAGAAGCTACAAAAATCAGACATTGTCACTGCCTTCCAAGGGTTTACCATCTATCTAGAGATGCAACCCACAGGAAAGGTTAGGTCACAAAAGGTGACCACATTGGCTGCCTGCCCATTGGAGGATCTAGAGAAAAGCTGCTCCCAGATTACTCTAGGCCACGGAGTTTGCAGGAGTTCAGTTTGGGAAGGCCTCCAACTGGAGGGAGTCGGCTCCCTGGAGAGGACTGTCTCCTGACCTCGCCCTGAGCCCTGGTGAGCTGAGCCAGGCCCAGCAAGGCCAGGATGTGGCTATTAGAAAGCAAGGATGGTGTGAATGCAGTTCTCTGAGGGTGAGACCCCACGACGAGCAAGAGGGCTTTAGACAGAAACACACCCCTTGGGACTGGATAGAACTCAGAGCTTGGAAGGGCCCGTCACCAGTGTCCAGCAACTGTAAATCAGGCCTTGCCATGGCCCGATGAGTACGTCAGTCGCTGTGAATGTTGCCGATCAGTTCTGTTATGTATATGGAGTTTGGGAGAGGCTGGTGGGGTTGTTGGGGATTTTTTGGCTTTCTGCTTCAGAATCCCAACATTGCCCTAATTTCTACCCAGGTACTTGAACCTCTCCTGCTCTGCCTAACTATCCCTTACCTCGGGGTAGCCTTGCCCTTTAAAACCCCTCAACAGGTTCCTATTTCGTGTCCCCTGGAGAGGGTGGTACCCCAAGACAACTAGCTGTCTTTCATTGGTCTGTGCCTTGGCTTTCTTGGGTGGAGCCCCCATCAGGCCTGTCTGCAGGCCTAAGCCCTCAACTTGGGGCTTCTTTCTGGGCTGCTCTGCCCTTGGTGGGGGTGGGGTGGTCTTTGTCCTAGGAGTGGGACCAGCCTATTGTGATGGTGGCTTTTGTGATGTAGAGCCTGCGGGCTCCTAGAAGACGGTTCTTCCTACCCTTAGCTCTTGGTGGGGGTAACTGGTCTTGAGTTTGAGCCTTCAGTCTCTAGGTGACAATCCCTGTCCTCCCCACTTTCCCACCATTCCAGGCAAGCCGGCAAGGGCACTGGGTTTCTCCCTGGATGGATGGCTTTAACCGCTCCGCCCTGTTTGGGGCAGGTCAGTGGGAGATGTGGCCCAGGACCACTAGTCACAGTTCTTCTGGATCTCCAGCCCTGCTGATAACTGGTCTCCAAGTTAAGGAAATCCTGTGGTTCTGCCCATTTTGTCCCAGCGGGGGGGGGGGGGTCAGGGGACAGCAGAGACAGAGGGCCTGAGAGCAAAGGCCAGAGCATTCAGGTGGTGTCTCTTCTGCCCGCCTGGCCCTTCCAGTGGGTCAGGCCAGATGGAACGCCCCTTTGCGCAGGGTGTCAGCCTATGTAGAAAATTGCTGTTTGAGGCATATCTTAGGAGCTAGATGCTCAGGTCTGGAAGCCTGGCCCGGCAGACAGACCTGCATGTGGGGACCAGCTCTGGATCCCGCCTCTGCTCCTCACTGCCTTACAATCCTGGGCAAGTGACCGCCTGGAGCCTCCATTACCTTGAAAGGTTGGACTGGATTCTACCCACCCCCAGGTCCCTCTGAGCTCTGAATCCTGGGACTGCTCGGGAGTCTTTTCCCTGTCCACCCATTGTGAAGCCCGTCTAAAAGACTCCCTCTTGCAGAAAGCCTTGCCTCTGCACCCAGGCACTTGTAACCATCCCCTTTCACCCTTGCATGGCGCTTGGTAGCAGCATAGGTATGCGATGTGTCATGGGAGTGGATGTTATCGTCACCCTCTTGATAGACACACATTTTACTGGCAGGGACCAGATCTTGCTTATACTTTGGGTTTTCCTCTAGGACTGTGCTCAACACAGTAGGTGCTTAATAAATGTTTGTTGCTTCTGGGAGAGCATGTGCCTTTCAGGTTTAACCCCTCTGGCGTCTGCTCTGGGGACGATATGGCCAAAGCCCTGGTGTTGGGACCAGCAAATCTGGGCTTCAAGCCTGACGTTGATGTTTCTTAGCTGGGACCTCAGGCCAGCAAATGGCCCTCATCCTCCCTGGGGTGGGAGGCATGGGGCTAGTGAGGCCCTGTGGATCTCACCAAGGCATTATGGGAATTGTGAAATACCCAGCAAGCGGAATGGCTTCGATGAGAGATGATGCCTTTCTCCACAGCCTGGGGAGGACGTTTGACAAAGCGGCAGAGACCATGGCATCTGAGGATATTGCCAAGCTCGCCGAAAGCCTGGCCAGAACCCAGGTGGGCGGAGGACAGCTGAGCTTCAAAGGCGAAAGCCTGAAACTGAACACGGCAGAAGATGGTGAGCCCCCACCCCCTGTCCCCCCTCCTCCTCGGCCTACATGGGGTCCCGGGAGGAGCTGGGAGCTAGGTGCAGTCTGGAACTGGCTTCTTTGGTCTCCAGGGCTAAAGAAGGTGCCCCCTTTCTTCCCCCCCGATGCCCAGTCTAGCAGGCCCATGCTCCCTCTGGAGGTCTTCCCCTGGACAGAAGCAGTGGCCCTGGGAATAGTCACTACCACCAGCTGTGTGGTTCTCAAGCCCTGGAAGCAGTCCTTCTGGCCCAGCCCAGCTCCTAGCAGTCAGCTGAGGGGGCTGAAGTGGGGAGCTCCTCACCCTCCGTAGCACTCACCTCTACCAGAGGAGCTGATTTGGGCTTGCCTGCAAATCCTGTCCGGGTGATTTGGCAAGGTGGTTTTGAGAAAGGTATGGCAGAGTATGTGACTGGGCATAACAGTGGCCTGGATCTTTACCCTCCCCTTCTCCTCGATCCTGTCTGGCGTGCGAGCGCAGGTAATTATTCCAACCTCGTGGGTCACCATTTCTAGCAGGGTTGACTTCTCAGACCCAGGAAGGCAGTGGAGATGAAGTCAAGGCCCTGCCAGGCTGGCTGCTCCCTGGCCATGGGCTGGTCAGACTGATACCAAGGCCAGCCCAACCTTTATTCACAGAGAACTTTGGCCGAGTTCCAGACTCTGATACTAACTCCCTTCCTTGGTGGCTAATAAGCCAGATCCTTAATCTCAAGACCCTACATTGCTATCCCAGCTTCCATATCAGTTTTTTTTAAATAAGGGGTAATATGAAAATGCTTGCATGACGTCATGTGTACAATGAATATCATATTGTTGCCTTCTCGGGGGCAGAGGAAAGGCTGGAAGGAGGGAGAGACTTTGGAACTCAAATAAAAACAAAATAAAAATTAACAATGGGTGTGAGGGGTGGGTGTGAACCAGCTGCTTGGATCACAGATTTAGAGCCAGGTGGGCCATCAGGGTCATCTAATTGAAGCCCAGCCCGGAATGCTTGAGGGATTGCCCAGGGGTGGCTAGGATTCGACCCGAGGCCTCCCCTCTTCCTGCCACTGGCTGGTTTCATGGATACTCCTCTCACAGTGCTCCTAGAGGCAGGCGTGATTATCCTTCTTGGACCAGGAATCACCTGGCTGCCTTTCTCCCCACTGAGCCTCATCCAGGTGAAGGCTTGTGTGGGCTCACACAGGTTACATACACGGCAGGGCCTTGATTCCCAGCCAGGCCTGCAGACTCCACATCCATCATTCCTTTCATGAGACCTGGCAGCTAGAAAGATGGCTGAGCCTTCGGCGGGCCATTGCAGGGCTGCTGATGTAGACGTAACCGGGAGTCAGAACTGAGTCTAGGAGCAGACATGTAGGATAGGGCCGTGCTGTGGGAACTGCTGGGAGGGGTGGTGGTGTTGGGCTGGGGTCTGTGGGCTGGCCACGGTGATGAGGCCTATGCTCAAGTCTTGTGTTGGTCACCTGCTAGCTGTGTCCTGGTGGAGAATCAGCTAACCTCTCAGTGCCCTGGAGTCGGCAGATGAGATAAGTTACTGATGAGGTGCCACTCTACATCAGTGGAGGGAATTTCTGCCCTGGGAGTTCCTCACCCTTATGAAATCACGGGTCTAGAGCAGCCACTCCCTCCTCTGTTTGGGCAGAGGCAGCAGGAGCCAAGTTCTGGCCGGGTTGGGGGTGGCCGAGCAGGCCGTCTGCACAGGGGTCTGGCCAGCAGACTGCAGGCGGCCTCCTTGTGACCTTGGCTAGTCACGTCCCCTGGGCTCCTGGGCTGTTACACAAGCAGTTTGAGGGTAACGCTGTGTGCGGTCCCTGGAGCGCTAAGTCCTCGCTCCCCTGGGAGCCTCAGAAGCTTCTCTGAAGTTGTCTTCAGACTGATAAAATGCAGCTTATTTTGAGCATCCCTTACCCAGCAGCAGAGGGATCTCTTGGAGCTCATGACCCAAGGCAGGCTATGGCCTGAAAAGACAAGGGGCAGCTAGCTGGCGCAGTGGATAGAGCACCAGCCCTGGAGGCAGGAGGTCCTGAGTTCAAACCCAGCCTCAGACACTTGACACGTACTAGCTGTGTGACCCTGGGCAAGTCACTTAACCCCAATTGCCTAGCCAAAAACAACAAAAAAAAAAACCCAAACCGGCCTGAAAAAACAATCATTCCTGGGTGTCTTGTCACATCTTTGACACCTGCTTGTCTTGGCCCTGACTTTGTGTGCTGAGCTCTGTGTCCAGGTTTGGGGGCCAGCGCCTGGGCACACCGTGAGAGGTTCCAGGTGACGGGCAGTGGCTCTGGTCTTCGGACAGTGCTTGTCCCTGAAAGGAGAGAGAGCTGGGCCCTGATACCACAGCAGGTGTCAGAGGCATCTGGATTCTGGGCTTTCCTCATGCTACCCTTCCCCCACAGAGGCATTGCTAATTTGTGGGTGAGAAACACAGTCAGTCAGTGGGTCTGCTGCAGGCCCATTTTTCCCTCTGGGTGAAGGGAGCTCCATGCTAGGCCGTGCTGAGTGATCAGCTGTAAGCTCACGGAAAGCAGAGGGTTCCCTTTTGTTTTGTACCCAGCATATAGCCCAGAGTGAGCGCTGCCCTGGCCACAGCCCTTGGGCATTCCCAGCTCAGCTTCAGCTTTCATGGACCAGCCACCGAAGTTTTAATGTTTCGTTATCTGTTAAATGGGGATGTTGGGGTTTGAACTGTGGACCTCCCAGAATGCTGGTGAAGACGGTGCTTTGTGTCTTTGGGCTCAGACAAGTGACTGAGGCGGTGACCCTTCACACCCTGACCGGGGCTGCGATAGCTCATTCCTGAGGGCTGCGCCTCTCTAGGGGATTTTCTCTGGGGCTTCCAGGTCACCAAGCGCTTTCCTCACCCACTGTGCACACCCTTGTGAGGCAGGTAGTGCGAGGGGATCATTACGACCTTTTACTTATGAGGAAGCACAGTCAGAGCTCAGTTGACTTGCCCAAGGCCACACAGCTCCTCAGTGTGGGAGGCGGGCCTCTCAGTAAGCCCTGCTCGGAGCACAGGCCTCAGTTCCCCTGCTGGCTTCTGGAGTTGAGGGTGCTCCAACAGTGTGGCTCCTTTCTTGGGTCCTTTCAGCTCAGGAGGTGATTAAACAGATAGAGGCGTTCGATGGGCTGGAGGCCCTGCGTTTTGAAGGCAACACAGTGGGTGTGGAGGCGGCCAAAGTCATCGCCAAGGCCCTGGAGAAGAAATCGGAGCTGAAGGTGAGTGTGTTTGAGGCCCCCTAGAAAGGTCAGAGCCCAACAGGGCCTTGCCTCCTGCCCTGTCGCTGGGCCTTGCAGACCCTGGGGCATCGTCATCTGACCTGCCATGGCTCCCTGGGTGCTCCTGGGCCTTGGCATCTGCCCCACTTCCCTTGGCATCTGTGGGCCTTTCCATCTGCCCTGTGTTGTCTCCCCAGGGAGAGCGTGAGCTCTTTTGGAACAGGGAGGGGCTGTCCCTGCGGTTTTTTTATGCCAGCTCAGAGAAGGCTCCTCCACTCGTTCCTTTCCCCTTCTCCTCACTGCCGCTCCTTTGTATTCAGAGCCAGGAGCAAAATGCCGGCTCTAAGCCCTGGAGGAACAGGGCAGAAGAACCTGGCTGGCCACTCTCCCCACTTCCCCAGCAGAAGGAGCTGCCGGGATCCAGGGGGCAGGCGCCTCCTAAAGGCCTTTCTTTCCCGACCCGTGAAGGCTGAGAGAGAGCCTTCAGAGGCCGATGACCAGCTGTGCCCGGCTTTACCTGATGAAGTCGTAGCCAAGCAAATGTTGGCAGCTGGGGCTCTGGGTCTGTTTTGCTCCCTTCTGGCCTGGGACGGTTTGTTCTTTGGGATGTGCTCCACGAAATAACACCAGGGTATTCCAGCAGTGTGGCCTGGACTGTTGGTCTCAGCCTGCCTGAGAGCACGGGCCTCTAGAGATAAGCAGATATCACCTGAAAGTCCAGGTGGGCCCTGGAGGAAAGGAGTCCTTAGCAACAACAGCCCCTGCACGGCCATGGGGACACTCCACGTCCTGCCCCCCAACCACGGGCTCTTCACTCTCAGGGCAGCGTTAGTCAGAGACCAAGAGATGGCCGAGCAGTTTCAGGGGAGGAAATGTTTAGGAGTGAATGGTTTGGGCCTGGAAGAGACCCCAGAGAGAGGTCATCTTTCTTAGGATTTGCCCAGGGTCCCACAGGAAGTGAACAGCAGAGCTGAGATTGGGGAGGGGAGACGGGCCTCAGGTCCCATTCCTCCTCTGTCCCCTGGAGCTCATGGGACTTGGGGGTCTTTCATTCCCAGGGCTCAGACTAGGGCTGGGATCCTAGGTTCCTCAGCTGGGTCTTAGAGCCCTAAAGCCAGTGTTCTGGAAAAGGGCATGTCCTCCCCTCAGAGTTCCCAACAGCAGTGAAATGACAGGTCTAGTTCTTGTCCCTGTGAATGAGTGAGTGAATTAGTGAATGAATAAAAGAGTATTTTTTAATCACTTTGTGCTGGACGCTGGAAGAATGAGTCTTGTCCTCGGGGAGCTCATGTTCTAATAGGAAAGACGACATGTAGAGACGAGAAGTGTCTAGGGAAGGGAGGTGGATGAGGAGAGTGGGGGCGGGTGCTCTGAAAGTAGATTCTCCTTTTTGACCCCAAACTCTGATTCAGGTGAGACAAAGCATATGAAAACAGGGATTTTATCCAAGGATTCCCAACAGGAGCTGGTGCACTTTTGAGCTGGAAGAAGCCTGGGATTATTGGGGGCCAGCCTTGCCGGGGTAGGGTCACTCCCCAGTGCCAGGAGGGCAGACCTCACCAGTGAGGCCATCCAGGCCCTGTTGGAGGGCCCTGCTCATTAAGGAGCTCTTCCTTGCATTCGGAGTGATTCAAAACCTTTCTCCCTGTCTCTGGCTTCCTGGACCTCACTCTTCCCTCTGCATCTTTAGTCTTTCTCCTGGGGGGGGGGGGCACAGCAGGGCAGCTGTCACCTCGTTCCACCTTCTAAGACTTTTCTTGGCCAAGCTCGGTGTCCCCTGTCCCTCTCACCATCTTCTGTCTGCCTTTCTGGACAGTTGTCAGTGGTTTGTGAAACCAGGCCAGAGCCTGGACACAGAATATTCCAGGCATGACCTGAGTGCAGGGAGGCTGTCCCCCCCTGCTTTATTCTCCCTAAGGTGCCAGCAGCTCTCACACCATTGGCTCCCCGGCCAGGAGCCCACAGGTGGCTGCACACCCTCTGTTCCTGGCTGTGTGAGTGGCCAATCAGTGTCTCCCTGTCTGTACTGCCCAGGGGAACCTGGGGGGCAGAGACCAGGCTCTCCCACCAGCAGGCTGTGGGACCAAAGCTGATTTCCTCCTCCCTCACAGGAGGGGCCTCTGCCAGCTTGAACACTCTGTGTGTCCCTGTCAGGGCTTGGGTGTGAGCCTAATCTGAGTGCAGGAGTCCAAGGCATCCCAGCAACTCAGCCTTTTTCCTTTGTTTCTTTCCCTCCTCTCTTCCTAAGCGATGCCACTGGAGCGACATGTTCACCGGGAGGCTGAGGTCAGAGATCCCTCCTGCCCTGGTGAGTGAGGAGGATCAACAAGGCTGCCATCACTTTCCACCTCTCGCCGCTTCTGTTCAGAAGCCATCCCCTCCCTGAGCTGTTTGGGTACCTTTGGGTAGGCAGGTGGGTGGGTCTCCCTGGTTGCTGGGCTGGGCCACAGTGAAAGGGGAGCAACATGACCGCCTGAGGGTTGGCAGCTGGTGCCATGGTTTGGGCAGAGATGGCTGAGGGTAGGCGTGCCCTCCGTTTCTGACCCACCAGTCTGAAAGGGACAAAGAGACTGTTATCTAAAGAACTAATTTAACAGGCGGTTGGATAAACATTTACTAAGCTCCCCCGATGTGTAAGCGTGGGCACGCAAAGCTAGAACACAGACCCTCTTCTCCAGGGGCTTACATCTAAAGGGAAAGAGGCAAACGAGGGACCTCGTCACAAATCACTGGTGGGGCTGTCAGAGGACGAAAGGTCCAGGCCAAGGGCTATGAGGTGTGGGGTGGAGCTGGGCCAGGATAGACGGGAGCCACTTTACTGAGGGGGGTGCCCCTTGAAGGCAGTTGGGGTGCCAAGAGCAAATGCACAGTTAATGAAGAGCCCTCGAAGTGGGGGTGGGGGTCAGAATGAGATGGGACAATATTGTAGCTGCCCGTGATGTTTGATGACGCTTCTACGAGTGATTTAGCTGTAAGGGATCAGGTCCCAGCCAAGCTAGAGAGAGGGCTGCTGGGAGCCTTTTGGGGGGGGGTTTAATTTTTTCTTCATTTAATAAGCATATATTTTCTCTCCTTTCCACTCCTCCCCATACAATTGAACAACAAAAAGAAAAAGAAGAAGCCCTTGTTACAAGTACAGGGTATCCCAAAAATCTAAGTGCACTTTTAAGCTTCATATTAAAGCTCCTAAGTTTTGTGGCTTCAAAAGGCCCTTGTTGCATAGTTGAGCGAAGCCGATCCCTGCCTTGGCTATGTCCGGCATTGTAGGTCTGGGTCTCATCTTGGGTCCTCACTGCAGGATTTTAAAGGCATTTTTCTTCATAGTTGTTACTGTATAAATTATTCTCCTGGCATTTCACTCTGCATCAGTTCATACAGATCTACCCAGTTTCTCTGAAACCACGTAACAGTATGGTTTCATTACATTGTTGTACTGTAATTTGTTGAGCCATTCCCCTGTCGATAGACACCCCTTTAGTTTCCAGTTCTTTGCTCTGACAAAAAGCTGCTTTAAATATCTTTTTCCTTTGGGTCCTTTTCTCTTTCCTTGACCTTTGTGTTATAGACCTAACATTGGTACTTCTGGGTCAAATGCAGTGACTTTTAAGGCAAAGTTCCAAATTACTTTCTAGAATAGGTGTGCACACCCATCCCAGTGTGCCTTTTATCCCCCGTAGCCCCTCCAACATTTGTCATTTTCCTCTGTTTCATCTTCACCAAACTAATGAGTAGGAGCTGAGGCCTCTGAGTCGCTTTAATGTGCATTTTTCTGGGAATGGCTCTTGAATGACAGGCCTCTTTGACCCCATGACCTGCCACCCATCAGTGTCCTTGGCTACCTTCACATAACCACTGGTCGTGATGTTACCGTTGGCAAGCCCCCACTTTCCCTGCCACCTCTTGCTGGCCCTTCCCAACACCTGCCTGTACTTGTTCGTACCCTGGGGCAAGCCCTGCTTTGTTTTCTCCCAGAGCTTGCCCCGTCCTTGAGTTCCCTTGTGTCTCTGTCATCTTTGGTGTGTGACCTTTTCTGCTGGCTCTTCCCTGCTCAGGTCTCAACCATCCTTAAAAAAAGCCTTCACTTGGACTTCCTCCCATCCCTTCCTGTTCTCCTTCTTCATCTCTTCCTCCTTTTCACTGCCAGACCCCTGGGAAGAATCCTTTGCCCTTCCCTCCTTGCTGCTGCCCGCTCACTTCTCAGCTCTTCTCAGACTGCTTCCACACCTGGTGGAGGTGCTTCTCCAAGACGTCCTTTCACTGCCAAGTTCAGTGGCCTCTCCTCAGTCCTGATCTGCCTCTTAATCTGAGCACTCTCTCCTCCCCTAGCTTCTGGGACCACCCTGTCCAAGCTTGGCCACTGCAATTTCACAGCATTCAACTTCAGTTATAACGTTACTGTTCTTTCAGTTACATTGTGTCACTGTGTAAATTGTTTTCCTGGTTCTGCTCACTTCACTTGGTATCTGTTCTTGTCTTAACATGCTTCTCTCTGTTCATCATATTCGTGATTTCTGCACAGTAGTTTCATAACAGTGACAGTCTGTTATATTCTGAGCATGTATAGTATGACAGTGATGTTGGTTTGTTTTCTGTGGCTGCTGTCAGTATCATGTGTAGTTTATTTTCTGAATGTTTGTTGGATAGCGTGATTGCAACTTCTGCTTTTTTGGATTCATTTGATGGATAGTAAATTTTTTTTCTAACCACTCAGTTTTACTCTTTGTATGTCTTTGTTTCTTAAATGTGTTTCTGGTAAGCAACAGATTGTGGGGTTTTGTTTTCACAGCCAATCTGTCACTCTTTTTCATTTTATTGGATTAGTCAATCCATTCACATTTAAAGGTACAAGAGCTTGGTTTATGTTTTCCTCCATTTGTCTCTAATAGCGGCTTTTTTTTTCCAAGGGATGATTTTTTTCCTCTCTTCCATTGTAAACATAATCCTGTCTCCAGTTACTTTAGCTTAGTGTTTTTTGTAAGGTGACTCTATTCCCTCTGGTTCTTTTTCTTTTTCTTAAAAGATTATTTGTTTGCTTTTTTATTTTGAGTTCCAAATTCTCTCTCTCCCTTCAGGCCCCACCCATGCCCATTGAAAAGGCAAGTAATACGATATCCATTATACATGTGAAGTCATGCGAAACATATTCTATATTAACCATAATCTTTCCTACCCCCCCAAAAAAAATCAACAAGTAAAATAAAGTGAAAACTCGTAGACTTCCGTCTGCTCTTAAGAGACAATCACTTCTCTCTCTGGAGGTGGATGGCATGTTTCGTCCCGGGTCCTTCAGAATTGCCTGGTGTCATTATAGCGATCATAGGCCCTGAGTCTTTCAGGGTTGGTCATCCTTACAAGGTTGCCATTTCTGTCTCTGATGTTCTGGTTCTGCTGGCTGCCCTTTGTAGCAGTCCATAGCAGTCTTCCCACTGGTTCTTTTCTCCTCATCTCTGAGCCTCTCCCCACCTGTTGGTTGCCCATTTGCCTTTGGAATTTTGGTTATTTGTTCTTTTTTCTTTCCTGTTTTTATCTGGTCATTTAATTTTTCCCCTTCCTCTCCTCCCTTTCAACTTGTCCTCTTTTCAAAATGTTATTGTTTTGCACCCCTTTCCAGAGAGGATTTCTCTCCCTCGCTCTCTTTACTGCCACCTTCCCTTTCTGTCTTCTTTGGATCATGGTTTTCTGTGGTTCATGGCCCCTCTCATTATTTAGATGCTTTCTGTTCTCTGTTCCTCATTAAATCAAAACCTCTGAGATACCCATTCTGATACAGTTTCTGCCTCTGCTTTGTGGAGCTTCTCTTTCACCCTTTTCCATTGTGCCTTACTCCCACAAAATATCCATTTCTGCAGGTGATAGGCCTGCCCCATGGCAGACCCCCTCCCCATTCACTCCCTGATTATGAAGCCCCCTACCGACCTTGGCTTTCCTTCTGTTCCCCTTCTTTCCTAATTTGCCTCAGAATTTCCCTGGGTCCGTGTCATCCTTCTCCCCAGGCTTCAGCTGCCCTCTGCAGCTCTCCCTGCCCAAGGCAAGATTAGTGATTTCTCCAAGCACCAGATCCCCACAGACAAGCTCCCCATCTTCCTTCACAGAATGAATCTCTTCACTCATCAGAGCATTCATCAGTGGTATCCCTTCCGTCCCCCTCCCTACCTTCTCACTCCCTGCCCTGCAGGCTCTCCTTTTTCTGAGAGACTGCGGGGGTCCCCTTTCCCTCATCTCTGACCCTGGACTTGACCGACACATATCCCCCACTCCTCTTCTGTCCTTCTTTCCTCTCATGCTCCCATTGTGCAGGTCAGTCCCACATGAAACCCTGAGTCACCTCCAGGTGGGGCACCGCCGGGTGCTCAGGCCTGCCTCTCCACCTCCGGCTCCTGGGGTACACAAAGAAGTCTCTTGATGCTCTCTCTGCCGTCCCTTTGTTGCTGTCACTGTCCCTGGATGCTGCATTTCGGTTGTCTGGGGTGTTTGAAAAGCAGATAATCTCTTCGTGTCTGGTTTCCTTTCTAAGAATGTTCTGAATGCTTTTTTCTTGTTGAGCATCTTGTTTTCATTCATAATTAAGCTCAGATTTGCAACCTAGGTCACTCTGGCCTGCATCTTGAGCTCTGTTGCTCTTCAGAACACACTTCCAATCCCTCTTGCATTTTCTAATGGGTGCCAAATAGTCTTGTGTTATTTGGATTTCCTTTTCATCTGAAGATCTTTCTCATGGTTGCTTATAGAATATGTGGTTTCTCAATAGCATTGTTAAATTTTTTTTTCTGTTTCTTTTTTTGTAAAATTTATTTATTTATTTTTAGTTTTCAACGTTCCCTTCCAGGATATTTTGAGTTCCAAATTTTGTCCCCATCTCATCCCTCCCCCCACCCCAAAATGGCATGCATTCTGAATACCCCTTCCCCTAATCTGCCCTCCCTTCTGTCTCTGCCTCCGCTTCTCTTATCCCCTTCCCCTTCAGTTTTCCTGTAGGGCAGGATAGATTTCTAGACCCCATTGCCTGTAGATCTTATTTCCCAGTGGCGTTGTTAAAGTTAACCACTGTATGTCTTGGAGTTTGCAGCTTCCTTTGATTGGCAACTTGGTTTTGTGCATCAGAAGTTCTAGGCAGTTCTATATGTTATTTCTTACGTTATGGTGTTTAGGGTGTTTTGATTTGTTACATTCCTCTGGGAGACCAAGATCAATATGTTTTGCTTGCATGGAGCACGTGTTTTCTTTTAAAGTTACTGTTTTCTGCTTCTCTTTTTCCAGATTGTCCTTCACTCCCATGTATTTTTATTCCCAATCAGTTGCCCTCTCTTGTTTCTTTTTGACACTTGCTGGTGCTGGTTTAAGTGTTTCTGTTCTGTCAGTTACTTCTGCTGTGAAGGCCGTAAATTCTGCTCTCACATTTCTCATTTTTCTTTTCAATCACTCAGGGACAGCTGTTTGTGGTTTCATGCTCTCAGAATCCATAGGGTCCTCTGCCACGTCACATGCTAAATCTTCCTTTGTTTTGCAGTATTTATTCACAGAGGCTGGAAGTCGTATAGTAAATCTGGAGGCCTGTTAATGTTTTTACTCTTGACCTATCTGCTTATGGTCAAGGTCTTTTGAGTTTTTTTCTTCCTGAGGTCTTTGGTAATCTCCCCCTTTTTTCCCCATCACTTCCCTGATTGCTCACTTTCTGACTCCCTCCCCTCTGATGGTGGTTTCCTTGGGGGCTGACTCTCAAAGTATCTCAGGCTCCCCTTGTGCCACATAGTTGTGTGTGGTTCACCAGCCTAGTGACTTCTGGGAGGTTAGGACAGATCCCATGTGGGCGCTGGGTTCTTTGCTTCAGACCAGTGGAGTGCCACACAGCCCCCACGCGTGTGTCCTGTCCCGTTCCCTCTATTCCTCACTTCTCTGGCCTAGCACAGTACAGAGCGCTGTCGGGCTGCCGCTGTCCCAGCTTGGGCAGATCTCTGCCACTTGGAGCCTGGATTTCTGCAGCATTCAGAGGAGCCCAGGGTCAGAGTGTAGAATTGAGCATATTCCAAGCCCAGACGACTGTTGTGTCCTGCCCCCGCTCCCCTGCAGCACAGGCTGTCTTGATCCCAGCATGGGAGTGGCTCTCCTTGGCACTGGAAAGAGGGAGGCCAGGGAGTCAGGCAGTCAGGTCAGCTTGCGCACTGGCGGTGGAGCAGGGGAGGCACTGAGCCGACGCAGTTAACCATTAGGACTCTTGGGGTGGTGGGAGCCGCGCTTTCCAGCAGAAGCACAGGGCATTCCCTCCTGATCCCTTGTGTGTTCCTTAGATCTCCCTGGGGGAGGCCCTCATCACAGCGGGGGCGCAGTTGGTGGAACTGGACCTGAGCGACAACGCCTTTGGGCCGGACGGCGTGCGAGGCTTCGAGGCCCTACTCAAGAGCTCAGCTTGTTTCACGCTTCAGGAGCTGAAGCTCAACAACTGTGGCATGGGCATCGGTGGTGGCAAGGTAGGTGGCGATGCCCCGGGGCATGGGCAAGGGAGGAGCAGAGAAGCGCTCTGTGTGCCCGCCGTGGGCGTGGGGTGAGCCCAGGCCCCTCGCTGACAAGGGCGGGGCAGTCGGTGGCCCCTGGAACTCTGACCTTTGGTGGGAGCGAGCTAGTTAGTCACCCTCCCCTGAGGCCAGCTCGCCGAGCCCACCCCTCTTTGGCTGGCGGCCTCTTTGCGCCCCTCTGGGGGTACGGCGTAAGGGTGAAGCAAGTCTAGAGCGTCCTCTTTATAAACTCCGTTGGGGGAGGAACAGGGGTATCCGTGGGGTGGGAGCGGAGGGCGAGGGGCAGCTGGGAAGAGATTCTGGGGGGCGTGCTGAGCACAGAGTTGTGGAAGATTATTCTGTCAGCAAGCATTTATTAAGCCCTTACTGTGTGCGTGCTCCTGAGGATACAAAGAGAGGAGGGAACAGGGTCACACCCTCAAGGAGCTCAGTCTGATGGCGGGGTGAGGGGCAGCGTCAGGGCGGAGGAAAGAAGCTGAGCAGTCACGTCCAGACGGTGATGGATCAGGCAGTGCAAATGCCTGTGGTTTGTGAAATAAACCGGGACCGAGGCTCTCGGCAGCCACGGACCCACAAGTTCATTCACAGTTTGGAGGGAGTGAAAATAGGACAGAGGGACGGAGGCTCCTGGTTTCTTGGTGGTGCAGGCACCTGGGAGACTCTCGGGCGAGGGCATTCTTGTGGCCAGATGACAGCGGAGTCTCCAGAATCAGGGGACTTACGTGGAGTTTGAAACTTCACTTCAGAAAATGGTGGATAGAGGACAAAATGGAGTCCCTAGTGCTCGTCTTTTCATGTAATGCTGGGGACGTGAATAACTGGGGGCGTATATACTAGATGGAAGGAAATCTGAGAGAAGAAGGCACTAGCAGCTGGGGGGAACCTAGGAAGGCCTCGTGCCGAGGCAGGATTTGAGCCAAATCTGGAAAAAAGCCTGAGAAGCCCGGGGGGGTGGGGGCAGGGCGTGTAAAATGGGAGAACATTCTTGGCAGAGGGCACAGCCAGGGCAAAGGCTCAGAGATGGGAGATATAGAGGAATAGCAAGCTGACTGTAGCTGGGGTGGGAGGTGGGATTTAAAAGTGTGTGAGGGGGTGCAGGAAGGCTGAGGGGCTGGGGGGTGCAGGGTAGCCTCACGGAGGACTCCACAGCCAGTGGAGATTTTGGAGAAGGGCACGGTATAGCCAGAACTGAAGGATGAAGGGGGTGGAGAAAGACTGTAGGCATGGAAACCAGTCAGAGGCTGTTGGAGTGGTCCAAGCAAGAGGTGGAAAGTCCTCAGAAAACACAGTCCAACCACCTCATCTTACAAGTGAGGAGACTGAGGCCAAGAGATCAAGCGACTTGCTGGGGCAGCATCTGACCCGAAGCCCTGACTCGGGGGCTGCTCTTGCCTCCGTGCCAGGGAAAGATGTGGGAGGTAGGAAGAGGCCCAGCACACCACACTTCTCTTGTAGATCTTGGCAGCAGCTCTGACTGAATGCCACCGGAAATCCAGCACCCTGGGCAAGCCGCTGGCCCTGAAGGTCTTCGTGGCCGGCAGAAACCGCCTAGAGAATGATGGTGCCACCTCCTTGGCCGAAGCATTTGGGGTGAGTGACTCCTGCGGAGAGGCTCAGGCTGGCCCGTGGGTAGGTGGGTGGGGGCCGCCCCACGTCCAGGCCCAGTGGGTCATGTGACTGATCAGGAATCTGAGGGCCCTGGCTCGCACCCAGGTCCTGGGATCCCAAAGCTGGGGGAGGGTGCAGGTATCGAGGTAGTGTCTCGTCGTGTGGCACATCCACTGTGGGGCATGGAAGAGACGCCGCCCACAGCTGCCTTTAGGTGGTCCTGTTCCCCATTTTACTGAGGAGGCAGCTGAGGCTGAGGGGGGGGGCAGTGACTCTTCCGAGGTCATGTGGCTCATGAGGTGCTGACCTGGAGCCCAAAGGGATGTCAGCCTGAGTGTCGGCTTTGGAGTCTGTAAGATGAAGGGGCTGGGCGTGAACCAGGTGGTCAAGAGTGTTTATTAAAGTGCCCGCTGCGACGGGCACTGGGGATGGCAGGCAGTAGAGCCGGAGAGCAGGTGGAGATCACACCCTTCCCGGAAGCCCTGGCAGTGCCGCCAGAGCCGAGGCTGGAAGGTGGTGGCAGTGGTGAGGTGGGGCTCTGGCCAGTGGGAAGAGAGGCCCAAACCCAAGCCTCCTCGGCCATGCACTGACTTCGGGTGTCAGCGGCTCCAGGATTCTCTGTTTCCACACTGACGGTGTTTTTCCTCGAGGCCCCTCCCCATCTTTCCGTTCCCTTGCCTCTCACACAGATCATCGGGACCCTGGAGGAAATCCACATGCCTCAGAATGGGATCAACCACCCCGGGGTCACGGCGCTCGCTCAGGCCTTTGCCACCAACTCCCTGCTGAGAGTCATCAACCTGAACGACAACACCTTCACCGAGAAGGGGGCAGTGGCCATGGCCGAGGTGAGCCGGGCTCCCCCCAGAAGGGGGGGGTTCCTGGAATGTACCAGCTACAGGCGAGGCAGAGCGGGCCTCCTGCCCTCCTGGAACTGGTCCCTGGTCTGGCAGGGGTAAAGACAGCAACGCACAAACATCTTCCTCTGTTATACTGACTTACGTGAGAGGGTTTCAAACCAAAGTGCTACATGAGGCCTGAAGGTAGAGCAAGTACCCTTGACAGAGGAGGACACTGAGGCCCAGAGCTTCCGTGGCTTCATCAGTGTCCCTGAGGAGCTGGGTGGGGCTCCTCTGAGGCTCCTGCCATCCTCCAGCCGTATGTAGGAGGGTCTCTGGTGGGCCTGGGGTCAGGACTGCTGCCCTCCGCTTCACTTTGCACCCACACGGTGTCTTGTGTCTGGTCCACAGACCCTGAAGATCCTGAGACAGGTGGAGGTGATCAATTTTGGGGACTGCCTGGTACGTTCCCGAGGGGCCCTGGCCATCGCCGAAGCCGTGAAGGAGGGGCTGCACAGGCTGAAGGTGGGTCCCTGCTCACTTTTCTCACCTCTGCTGGGGATTTGAGTCTGGGTGTTGGGGGGGGTGGGGGGCAGGGACAGTCGCTTGGTCTAATTCAAGGGCAGTCACCTTGATCTGATTGGAGCATAAATGTTTGACAACCTTCCCTGGTGGGTCCCAGGAGCTGAACTTGTCCTTCTGTGAAATCAAACGAGACTCCGCACTGGCCATCGCAGAGGCCGTTGAGGACAAATCAGAACTGGAAAAATTGGATCTCAATGGTAAGGGGTGTGCCTGATGGAGTTTGGGGGGACACCCAGCCTCAAGGTCCCAGGTCATCTCCCCACACCCCACCCCAGGCCCTTGGGCTCAGGGCATCCGCCCCTCCTCCTAGTCTCACAGGAGCCATTCGCTCTTCAGACCTTAGTATTCTGGCCTTGGGTCTAGAATCACTTGGCTTCCCCTAGGCCTCATTCTCCCCACTCTGCCACAGGGAATGCTTTAGGAGAGGAAGGCTGTGAGCAGCTTCAGGAGATCTTGGAAGGCTTCAACATGGCCCACACACTGGCCTCACTCAGGTGGGGGGACAGGGCCTAAGGGAGTCACTGGAGGATGGTAGGGGTACAGGGAAGGGCCTAAGGGGGTTACCTGGGGGGGCAGTGAAGGACCTAAGGGGTTACCTGGGAGCAGGGCCTAAGGGGTCACCTGGGGAGTAGGAAAGGACCTAAGGGGTCACCTGGGGGGCAGGGAAGGGCCTAAGGGGTCACCTGGGAAGTAAGGAAGGGCCTAAGGGGTTACCTGGGAGCAGGGCCTAAAGGGTCACCTGGGGAGTAAGGAAGGGCCTAAGGGGTCACCTGGGGGGCAGGGAAGGGCAGGATTCATCTGCTGTCTCTCTGCAGTGATGATGAAGGAGATGATGAGGAAGTGGAGGAGGAAGAGGAAGTGGAGGAGGAAGAGGAGGAAGAGGAAGTTGAAGTTGAGGAAGAGGAGGAGGAAGAGGAGGAAGAAGAGGAGGAAGAGCTTCAGCAAGGCCAAGAGAAGTGACCACGACCCCAAAGAAGATTCTGGATACACACGTTGGGGTAATTTCCCAGGGGCTCAGAGGGAGAGGGAGAAGAGAAGGCTGGGCCGGGCTCTGGCCCATTGTCAGCATCACCACCCTGACCACTGGGAGCCCCCCCATCTTCTGGGGGACACTGCTTAGGCCCTTTTGAGGCTTCCAGTTCAGCTTTGGGGGAGGTGAAAATCTGGGGTCTCAGCCTGGAAACTCAGTGTCCTCTTGGCAGGTCCCCAGTTAGATGGCGTGCCAGACAGTGGCGTTAGGGCTTTCAGCTCGAACCCCAGGCCTGTGCGTCCCTGTGCCTGCCAGCCGGCTCTCCCTAGTGAGATTAGGGCCAGAGAAGGAGATGGAGGTTCAGCTGGACAGACAAGCTGGGCACACCTGCAAATGTAAAGAACATTCTTCAATTTAGCAGGAGCTGCTTGGGGCCTAGGAGGGAATGAGGCCACCATGTGGCTGGTGGGGGGCAGGACTGGCCCTGGAGGGAGAGGGGGCCCCACCCAGCTGGAGGTATCCAGGTGCTGGTCTGAGGCCAGCCCGGGTCTCCTACACTGTCCATGAGCACCCCAGCCACTCATCTTGGCCTGGTGGCCTCTATCTGTTTGTAGGAACCTGCTTCCGTGACGTGTTCTCCATCCGACATCTCCACATTCCTCGCTTTCCCGTCTCCGAAAAGCTTCTGCACCTTGGGCCCAAGAGCTCCATGTTGATAGCCCAGCAGGTAATGGGGCCCCGGCTTCCTGCCCAAAGAGCTTAGGTGAAGGCAGTGAGACCGTCAAGTCAGGGCCACAAAACAGGCAAAGCTGAGCCACCCCGGTGCGGGGCGTCCAGCAGAGTCGTCCCCTCGCTAGGCTCCCTGCTTGTTTGGGGGCTTGTCCAGGAGGGGTGGGTGCTGTCCCCAACCCGTAGGCACCCTCCGGCCTTGCTCCCTCAGTACCTGTGGACTTGGTGCATCGGAGAAAGCAGAGGGTCCCTCTCCTTGTTCTGGGTCACCCAGAGCTCAGTTTCCTAATTTGTAAAATAAAACCCAGTGCTCCCTTTGGGCTGTTAGGCCATACCCCTGTCCTCAGGGAACACACGTCCCCATTGCTGGAGTACCGGCTGCCTCCGGGTTTCACCCAATGGGCTGATCCTTCCCAGAAAGAGACTTGGCCCAGATCACTTGCAGTATAGGCATCAGGCCTGAGTCTGAGACCCTGTAAGCTCCCAGGCACCTCTGAGGATGGGCCTCTGGGAGGATACAGGATATAGGTCACAGCTAGGGGACCTTATCCATGCAAACTCCTAGACCGAGGGCCCGAAGGAAGGAGAAAGATCAGACAGGATGGCCTCCTTTTAGAGAAGGAGAAACTGAGGCTGAGAGGCCAGGCCAGGCTCCTTTCCTTAGAGAACCAGGAGCCCTGGCTGGTGGTCTGACGCTTCAACTGTCTCTCTTCCCTTTTAGACAGATACATCTGATCCAGAAAAGGTGGTTTCGGCTTTTCTGAAGGTCTCCTCTGTGTTCAAGGATGAGCTGGCAGTGAAGACAGCCGTTCAGGAGGCAGTGGGTGAGTGCGCCCCCAGCCTGGCGCAGGCTGGCAGGGGAAGGGAGAGCTTCTGGAAGGTGTCTGACTGCCTGGCGTGGCTCAGGCTGTGCCCGTGGGCACAGAACAGCTCCCGGCTCCGGTGCTTTGGCTACAACCCTGATCCTTACGCCCATTCTCTGGATGAGGAAGTTGAGGTGTGAGTCCAGGAATAGCAAGTGTGGAAGCCACAATTTGAGCCTGGGTCTTGACTGCCTCTCGCTCTAGTGATCTTTCCACAAAGCCAGGACAGAAGCCTGGCTGGAGAAATAAGGCCCATGCCTTATTCCCAACGTCATGTGGTCTGAGGGTGGGCCCTGTGTGCCCCTGTCCTCCCCACAGTGCCCCGCAGCCAGGAATTCCGTGGTTCCCTAGCCAGAGAGTGCGTGGCCTTCTGGGCCGGGCTAGGCCTGGAGCGAGCTGCTCCATCAGTGGAGAGGAGCCAGGCCCGCGGGCCTGAGGAAGAGGTGAAGTGGTGGAAGGCAGGGGTCTTGGGGTAAGGTGTCGGCAGCAACTGTTAGACCTCGGGCAAGGCCTTTCTGCACCTTCCAGCTGCTAGAGCAATGGGCTCCCGAGCTGCTCCTTGGAGAAGAGGCCAAGCACTCGCTGGATGGCTTCCTGACTCCCAGCACCTCATCCCGCCTGCCTCAAAGCTGAGTGGGGTAGCTTTTGGGGGGGATGCAGGAGACGGCCGTGTCGAGACTAACGTGATTTAAATGCCAAGTGTTTGTAGAGTGGGAGATAAGGGGGGAGGATTTGAAAGGTAGACAGGGACTATGAGAGGAGCCCATGGGCCCAGTAGGCAGGGCCTCACCAGCAGCCACCAGGATGGCTCCAAGCCTACTGTATGCCTTGGGAGGGGCGGGATAGGAACTGTGACCCTGGAGCAGCCTGTGCCCAGGGCCCCTTTCTCTTCTCCGTGTCCTCCCCTTTGCCCATGTGGCCCTTAGGCGGCTCCTCTCCCTCTCCTGTGAGCTGCCCTCAGTGCTGCTGGAGGCTTTCGGGGCCAAGACTCCCCTGTGCTAGCTAGAGTGTGGCCCCTCCCGGGGGCCCCCACCCAAGGCCCCAGGATGCCTCTCTGTTCCCCTCTTCCAGATGCCCTGATGAAGAAAGCCTTCGATTCAGCCGCCTTCAACTCCAGTGTGTTCATCACCAGGCTCTTAATACACATGGGGCTTCTCAAGGTGAGAAGAGAGGAAAGTGTTAGGCCCTTAGAAATGGGGAAGGGTGAAGCCCAGACAGGATGGGTTACTTAGCACCCATTCTAACCAAGTGTTCTCAGGCCCAGTCCCTATTCCATGGACCCATCTGGATCCTTCCCCTCTAGTGTGGGGTCACAGGAGCCTGGGGGCTGCTGCTTTGGGGGGGGCACTTGGCCTGCTTTCTCCCTCCCTTGGTTGGTGGCAGGGTTTCCCCTCCCCATCCCCTCCCCTCGCCCTGGGGTATGGGCCATGGAAAGGAGGGTGGGAAAGGCCTACCTTAGTTGGAGGAGGGGTGTCAGGTATTTTCCAAAGTGCTCATGGACCAGACCGCTCCTGGCCTGGGAATCACAGGCCTCGCAGCGGCCTGTCTGAGCATCAGCAGAAAGGTGTGCTGAGCCAGACGGTGTCTGGTGCTCCAGCAAGGCTAACCCTGCCCTCGGGTGTGACCTTTCCTGCAGAGCGAGGATAAGATCAAGGCAATCCCCAATCTCTACGGCCCCCTCATGGCCCTCAACCACATGGCCCAGCAGGACTACTTCCCCAAGACCCTTACACCCATCCTCCTGGCCTTTGTGACCAAGTGAGTCTGAGCGGCCAGCTACCCTGGGGCCTTTGGGAGTGTTTGGGGGCAGGGTCAGCATGCTGTGGGCCTCAGGCCCTGTGCCCGAGTCCAGTGGGTGGGGATGCCGTGGGCCTCAGGCCCTGTGCCCGAGTCCAGTGGGTGGGGATGCCGTGGGCCTCAGGCCCTGTGCCCGAGTCCAGTGGGTGGGGATGCTTTGGTCCTTGGGCCCTGCACTCCTGGCCTTGGTGACTGAGTCCAGTGAGCCCTTTCTGTGCCTTGAGAACAGGAGAGAGGGCTATGGAGTGAGCTCAGGCAGTGGGGCAGGGACCAAAGTGCGCGTTCTGGCCATGGCCCCACAGTGTGTGCTCGGCACCCCTGCACACCTCCTCGGGGACCTGGTTTAGACCGGTCCAGGGAAGCTCCCCAGGCAGGAGCCTCAGAGGCGCATCCAGAAGGTTCAGGGCCCAGGCTCGTCCAGGAACAAACAGACTGGGGCGATCCTCACCCAGCGAGTGGAGAGCTGGCTTGGGAGACAGTTTGTGCGACTGCCGCCCCAAACAGCCCCCGCGGCCTGCCCTGTCTTCCCTCAGATCCTGGCGCTCGGAGAACAGGGTGCCTAGCCCTGTGCTCGGCCTGACACAGTTCTGCAGGAAGTCTTTTGTTAGGTGCAATTGTAAGAAGAGGCCTAAGCAGTCAGGCACACTCCCTGTGAGACAGGTCTAGGCTCTCGTGGCCTGAGCATGGTGGCAAGAGTGTTACCTTCAACAGGTAGGCCTGGCTAGCATATTCATCCCCATTTCACAGAAGAGGAAGGCGAGGTTTGAGGGGAGGGTGACAGGCCCACATGTATGTGAGTCCTGGTGTCTCCTTCCTGTTTCAGGGTCCAGCACTCATGCTGCTGGCCGCCCTCCCCCAGAGCGCCTGTTTGGTGAGAGTGCGGTCCTCAGCTGGTGTCACTGAGTGGCATCCAGGGAGACGAGGCCCAGGGCGATGGCCGTCAGGACGGCCACCTCCTCCCTGTGACTAGATGGCCTTTCCAAGGCCCCCCCCAGTGAAGAATCCCCCAAAGCCAGATTGTGAAGAGCCTCGAATGCCAGACCGGAGTTTGGAGTTGGTCCTCTGGGTGAGGAGTTTGTAGCCAGATCCATAGACTGATGTTTAAAATCGTGTAATAACTGTATCTTGATCTAATTAGCTTCCTATCTCTGTGATGCCCCAGAGGTGAAGCTCCCCTCTTCTCTGGCACTGGAGCCCCCACCCCCACAGAGTGTGTCAGTGTGCCAGGAGCAGGACTGGGCAGGCCAGGGCAGAGAGAGCACAGAAGAGGGAGAAGGAAGAGGAGGTGAGGAGTAGCAGGTCCAGGGGACAGCGCGGAGAAACATCGGAGGGAGTTTCTGGGCACTGGGCTGTAGGCAGGGCGTGGGCAGCCAGGACAGGGAGAGGAGGCTCCCTTGGACTCAGTGGGGTGGGAAGGTGATAGTGCTTGGAAGGGAAGGGGAGGTGGAGTCAGATGGATAAATATTTAGTATCCAGGGAGAGCTGAGGCAGGCCGGGGGGCAGGTAGAAGGTAGAGGCGATGGATTGGACACCCGGTCAGACTGGAGGGAGAGCAGAGTCCAGGATGCCAGGAGGTGGCAAACAGGAGTGACTGGCAGGCCAGGGCAGTGGTGCCCTCAGCAGAGAGGCCGGTGTCCTGGTCCCAGGCTCTGTGCAGCGGCACAGAGGTGGAGGGATTGGGAAGATGCCCCGGGCCCGTGTTGATTCAGGACGCCCAGGAAATGACTCGGCAGCTCTGACTGCTGAGCCTCAGGATGAGGCCTGCCCTGTGCCCTGGCTGCTCAGTCAGGGAGACACCATGGGCCAGTGGCCGGGGCAGGGCTTGGCATCAGGAGAGACCGGAGGCACCATGAGCCGGAGCACGTCCGATCCGACAGAGCAGTTCTGTCTCCCGTCCACTCTGCCCTCGCCTCCGAAGTTGTCAGCTGTCTGAGGCGCCCTTTGCGTCCGGGCCCTGCCCCCGGGCGCATTGCGCGGTCTTGGTTTCCTCATCTGGGGGCTCTGCGCCCCTCGCCTCGGGGTTGCTGTGAAGAAAGCTCTCTGTAGCCCTTAGACTTACTCCTGCGGAATGAGGCGCGCCTGTTTCGCTAGTGCCTCCTAATTAGCCTTTAGCGGGGCCACCTGCTGACCCAGGCCCGCCCGCGGCTCTGGGACGGTGACCTCGGCCCTCCTCCGGCTCGGCTGCTCACGGAGGCTCCTTGTGGCTCAGACCTCACCTCATTTGTTCCCCTCTGTTTCTCCCTGTCTCTTGCAGGCCCAATCGGGCCCTGGAGTCCTGCTCCCTTGCTCGCCACAACCTCCTGCAAACCCTCCACCACGTCTAGTCGCTAAGAGGCCGGGCCTCTGCTGTCGTTCCCCATGAACGTTATGACCTGAGAGCCCCTGCCCAGGCCCAGAGGACGAGTGTGTGTGTCTGGCGTCACTTCCACTGAAGATACCCTTCCCCTCCTCCCCCCGGGACGCCGAGGGGACGCTGCTTCTGTTTGGCCTGCCGGCCCTGGCCGGGCCGGGCTTGTGGGATTTTTAATGACGTCTCTGTTGTGAATCACCTCGGCCTGCCTCAGGGGAGCTGGCCTCGGACACTTGCTTCCACCCTGCCTGCTCGCGGAGTCAGTCAGTGGCCCCTTCATTAAATGCTGTTCCCTGCCCTCACCTCACGCCGGCCTGCCTGGATCTCCCCTGGCCATCGCTGCCTGTTCTGGGTGCAGCGTGGTATCCTTAGCTGGCTCGGGGAGCTCCTTGGCCACTTCCTCTCACTAGGAATCTCGGGAAAGGGGAGCAGCCTTATCTCTGCCTCCCAGGCTCTGCTCCCGGGAGGACCCCGGAGCACAGTGTGGGAGGCAGACCTGGTGACCCCAGGGCCTGGCCCTTCCTAGTCAGTGACTCGGGGGCCTGTGCCCTCCCAGAGGAGCAGAAGTAGGCAGCACCTGGGTGCCTACTGTCTCCTGTGGTAGCACCAGCCTGGCCTCAGACCTTCTGCTCCGTGGAAGGAGCTGACGGGCTGGGCGCCCTCTGCTGTCCTGGGGCCTGAGCCCCGGCCCTTCGGCGGGGTGCTCAGGAAGGAGCCCTGCCCCACCTGGCTTCTTGGGACTCTGGACTGGAGCATTCTCAACGGCTCCTCCCCCTCCCCTATTGGAGACAAGAGACTTGAGCGAGGAAAGGTGTCCACTGTTACTTGTCTCCCTTCTAGCCCAGGCCTCGGTCCAGTCACCTTGTTAGCTGGTCACAGGGCAGCTGGGCCTGTTGGGAGTGCAGTACCCCCAGGGCCCTGAGCAGCCGTTTTCTTCTGGGCCTCAGTGGGTTCCAAGATGGGCCTGGGTCCCCGTGGCTCTTAACCTTTTCTCTCAGCTTGCTGTGCCTGGGCCCTGCCCAGGGCTTCACTAATGGACCAAAATGCTGAGGAGGGAGTTCAGGGATCCCCCAGGTTGCCCACTCTTCCCTTCACCATAACTTAGGTTTATCTTCTGTTTGGCACAGGGGGTCCTGGGAGCAGGCACTGGGCTCAGAGCATGTCTGCAGGGTCCTGAGCTGGTCTCTGGAGGAGCTGCCGTGCCCTGCCTGTGGTGGTCCCCCAGCTAGCACTGGCTCTGGGGGCCATGAGATGCCCATCCTGCTCTCACCTGTCCCTGCTGTCCTGTGAGCGCTGGCAAAGGTTTGGAGTAGGTCTTTGTCCAGCTTCTCTGGCCTTTACCTGGTTTTAGCCAGTGTCCATAGGAGTGCTTGTGCCAGGGGGTGGGGGGGTGGCCCTCCTGTCATCATGGTGAAGGTCCGGGAGGCCTCGGTCTCCCGCTGTTCTTCCCCACGGTGGCAGAAGGAGTGGGCCCTACCCTGGTTGGCGTAACCCGGAACAGGGCCAGCGAGAGGAATGGGGAGGAGGCAGGGCTGGGCCCCGTTGGCCTCTTCAGCTGCCTGCTTGACCGTAGGTGCTCGTGTCACGTCAGTCCTCTGCCTGCTCAAAGGGGGTGTTAGGGCAGAGAGGCCTTGGGCCTGTCTAGAAACCCCAAGGAGAGGCTCTGCAGCTGCCCAGCTGTGTGGGCCCAGGGGCTGTCTTCAGGGCTCCGGTGGGTCAGAGGAGGAGGGAAGGCTACAGTAACTCCCCCCAGTGGGCCTAGGCTAGTGTGGCTTTGGAGCTGAGGAGGCCAGCTCTGGTAGAGCCTGCCCCCAGGGTGCCTTTCGCCCCGGTACACCCGCCCTCATCCATGTTGGTACTTGTGCTGATGTGTGAGTAACTGCCCTGCCTGGGCCGGGGCTTAGGGTAGTGTGCAGAATAAAGTGCTGTGTCGCAGCCTGGCCTCATCCGTGTGACGTGGGGGGGCGGGGGGGGCAGTGTCCTGGGTCAGGCCTGGGGCTTGAGTGGGAAACTCGAACCCAAATCAGGATGAATGTCAGACTAGAGCACAGACTGTTTTGGGGGGTGGGGAGGGAGACGAGTGACCAAAAGGCTGGCAGATTGATGGATGTTCAAATGGGAGGCCAAGAACTCTGGGTCTGGAACGAGTGAACATTCCTCATGTACCTGCTGTGTACCAGTCAGTGCTAAGGATACAGATGCAAGACGACCCCAGGGCTCGCAGAGCTGCTCTCTGAGGAGAGCTGGAGTCAGAAGTGGGGCGAGGCTCCTGAAACACCGTGGCAGGGGATGAGCCAGGGCCCTCTGGCCACCACCTCACAGCACGGGGAAGGGGAGGACCCGAGTGTGGCTGGGGTGGGGGGCACCTGGCTCCAGGAGGCCGGGGGACCATTCTCCAGACTCAGTTTACATCTGTTTCCCAACTGATTTCATTGGCATGGGGGGAGGGGTTGGTTACTGCTGTGGAAATTCCCTCCACTACGGCAGATTTGCAGCTCATTTCTGATCTGAGGCTGGGGCATCATTTAGGGCACTGTGGAGTTGGGGGATTTCCCTGGAGTCGCAAAGCTAAGATGTGTCCAGGCAAGGCGTCGAGGCCAGGTCTTCTGCCGTGCTCCAGTGCTTCTAACTTGGACGTGATCAGAGTGGACAAGGAAGCATTTGCCTAGTAATTAACAGAAGAATCAGATTTCTACAGGCAATGTTTACCCTGAGAAGACAAACTCAGGTCCAGGCAGGAAGCTCAGAATGTCCAGCGTTAGAGCAAGGAGGCTCCGTTTGGCCAAGGCAGCCATTTTAGAGAGGGGGAAGCTCCTGGGGGCAGCTTGAAGGTCACCCAACTGAAGGAGCAGGGCTGGGCCTCACCTCATCCCAAGCTGGCCCAGGCCTTGTCACTGCCCCTACCACATGCCCTGTGCCTTTGTTCACATCCTTTCTGTCTCGTAGGATTCTGTTAAATCTGATGAGCATTTATTAAGTGCCTACTGTGTGCTAGGTGCTATACTAGGTACTAGGCATGCAGAGACCAAACGTTTCCAGCCCACAAGAAGTGCCCATTCCTCTGGAAGGGCGTGAGGCCCAGAGGGTTGTTGGCAGGAGCCTCCCTGAGCTGCCATTTCCTGCTCTGCTCTTGGAGGCCTGCCTTTGGTGAGCCAGAGGGTGCCTTCTGGATGGCACTCAGGCCCTCAAAGGACTGATGGGCAGCTCTCCATATTAACCAATTCTCGTTCCTAGAGGAAAACCTTTTTGCGGGGGAGAGGGAGGGAGGCAATCAGAGTTAAATGACTTGCCCAGGGTCACACAGCTGGTAAATATCTGACCCCGAATTTGAATTTGGGTCTTCCTGATTCCGAGACAGGTACTGTATCTACTGCACCACCCAGCTGCCCCTTGAGGGGAACCTAGGAAACATTGCCTTCCTGCCTGGAGCATGCACCCTCCTGTAAAAGTCCATGGAGCTGGCTGCTGTAGAAATTTTTAGAAATGGCCCTGCAGCCTAACTTCATTTAGCATGTAGGGAAGCTGAGGCCCCTTTTGGCCCAGGTAATTAGGGCGTTCACCAGCAGTGTGTGCTGGGTTGACTCAATGAACACCCATTTCCATTTCTAGCGTGTGAAGATTTACAGAGCTGTTTGGAGGTCCCATATGGACAAATGTCTCTGTAACGGCCCTTTCTATGGTGGCAGAGATCTGGAAACAGAGGGCCCATGGCCCAGAGACTATCTGGTCAGCCCATGGTGCAGAAAGGTAGCCTAAGAAGAAATTGGGAAGGTGGGAAGAGTTGTAGGAATGTGTGGCTTGATGACAACCGATGAGATAAAAAGCACCTAGTAAATCCCTATTGTTTACCCACTGGGAGGCGATCAGTGCAGAGTCCGGTGAAGACAGAGGACTAACAGGATAGTGCTTTCTGCTTCTCAATTGAGAGGTGGTAGACTACAGCGGCAGAATGCAGTATACATTGTCAGACAAGGCCAATGTGTTTTGCTTAACTGTGCTTTGTTAAAAGGGAGAGTTCTCTTGGGGAGAGAGTTATAAGGAAAGGATGATGATGTTTTAAAAAAGCATCAATGAAACATTTCAAAAAATAAGAAAGTAAATATATAAAAGTTGGAAAGCAAATACAGTGTTTTCCTCTCAAAGTCCTTGTGAGGTCAGGAGGGAAGACAAGGGTTATTATTCCCATTTTTCAGATGGTAAATATTTGTGTGTTGGACGAGCTGGTGTTGGGCAATGGCCTCAGACACCTGGGCTGCTTCAGGGGCTGGTGGGAGAGTCTGTCTGCATCAGCTTAGATGGTCTACAGCCGGTGGTGTCCAGGACTGCTCAGATCTGTGGGACTGAGTCCTCCCAGGGGCCTACCATCAGCCCCTGGGGCTCAGGTTCCAAATTTGGCGCCTTCGGGAAACTTGCTGGTAATTCCAGCCGGGGAGGGAGAGAGGACTTGGAATTCGTTCTTTCTCAGACGACCTTTCTCGAATCCCTCCCTGGCCCACTGGTCTCATCCCCTTAGGGGGGAAGCATGTGCTGGGCTGGGCCAGCCAACAATGCCCTCATTCAACTCGGAGGAGAGGGCATGCCAGGTGGGAGGCCCTGAGATGGGGAAGGGGGTGGGGTGGGGGGAGAAGGGGCTGCTGTCCTCGCCTCCAGGAGGTGGAGCTGTCGGGGGGGGGCTCCTCCTCTGTCAGCCACCCTCACCCACATCCCAGAGCACACACTGGAGCAAAGGAGCCTGTGGCCTGGACTTCGAGGTGAGTCCTTGGGAAACTGGTCGGGTGGAAGTCTCTGTCTGCAGAAGGGAGGGAGTAGCAGGGCCCAGAAAGTGGAGGGGCCAGATCTGCTTAGGGAGCAGCAGTGAAAGAGAAATGGGAGGGAGGTCAGTGTCCTGGGCGCTGGTCCCTGGCTAGCTGTGTGTCCTTCAGTCGGCTCTTTCCCTCTCTGGCCTCAGCTTCCTGCTATGTGGAAAGATGGGGGTATAGCTAAGTGACCCCTAAGCCCTTGGATACTTGCCTGGGCACTTCCATATTTCAAACCTCAGTTTCCTCCCCTGTAACATGAGTGATTGGTCCAGATGTTTCTTCCTGGGGTAATGTCCAGCAGCTCAGCTCTGGGTCTGCCCCAGGCAGGGGCTGCCAGCCTCACCTTCTCTTGGGGCTGAGGTAGGGGCAGGGCATTAGAGAGCTGGTGATGGGAATGGACCAGCATATGACCTGGCCACAATCAACAAGCCTCGGGGGCTCACAGCCTGCAAAGAAGGGCCCTAATTCACTTCTCTGCTGCTCGATGACAGGGCTCCCTTCTGCCCCTACCTGGCTCCCGAGCTTCTGTTGTCTGAGTGGGGAGTTCAGCCCCAGGAGGTCTCCAGGGCTGGGGGGCAGAGAGTACGGTTCAGCACAAAGACGTTGGACTAGAGGCCCCGGGTTTTGTTCCAGCCTCTGCTTCTGACCACCTGTGTTAATCTCAATGGCTTCCCAGGTCCCTGCCAGCACTAAATCCATGACTCTACAATCCCATGACTTGTCTGGGCCTCAGTTTCCTTCTCTGTAATCTGAGGGTAGGATTAGACGCTCTCCAAGGCCCTTCCAGCTTGTGAGCTCTGATCCCGCGATCTACCCTCCCCCATCAGCTTCCTCTGCATCAGAATGATGCCGGTGGTGATGATACCCAGATCTGCATTCAAATCCTACCTCGAACATAGATGGCTGTGGGAGCCTGGGAGGGGCAAGGGTGATGTTAGGGTCCAGAAGGTGCTTTGCAACCTTTCAAGCTCTGGATACGAGGGAACAATCATTAGGCCTTCGGTCAAGTTGTCCTCTTTCAATTTTGGTCCAGGCCTATGACTTCCCAGGTGAGGAAAGTCCCTCTACGAATAGTAGGAAGCCCCTGCTCTGTGACTGGTAATCAAAGAGGTGCCTGGGTTCAGAGAGGTTCAGAACCGGGTGGGGGGCAATTTCACTCAGCAGCATTAGAAAGCAGAGGAAGCTGCTGGGGCTGGAGCTGGGAATGATAGGAAGAAAAGCAGACAGATTTCCCGGAGTTGTGCTTTTGTATGGCTTGAAGCATGTCTTCTGATCAAATAAGATATCTGGAGTGTTTAGTGCAAGCTCTGGCACATAGGAGATGCTTACTGAATGTGTATTCCCTTCGCTTTCCTCTGTGGTCCAATGATCCCCTATGCAAGGCCCTGCTTGCAGCTGATTGGGTCCAGCCTGCCCTCTCCCCTGCCCCACGCTCTACCCCAGCATGTGGAATCCTCTTGGCCTCTCGATGCTGCTGGCCCTGACCTGCAGGGGACTTGCCAACCTCTGCCCCCGGGTCTGTATCTGTGACAACATCAGGAGACACGTCTCATGCAGGCGCCAGAACCTCACAGAGGTGCCAGTCACCATCCCGCAGGTGAGTGGGGGCAGCTGGGACCAGGTGAGGAGCTGGGGGGAGGGAGGCATTGGGGTGTCAGATCTGGCGGACTAGAGAGAGATGCTGATAAGCTTACTGGCACAGAGAGAGGTCTGGACCCTGATCAATGAGTTGGTGTGATGATACCCATAAATGGACCAGGACAAGAAGAATCTATTTCAAAAGTATAGTGTTCAAATAAAAAAGATCTGGGGATTTCAGTGGACCACCAGATCATATTGAGTCAACTGTGTGGTATGTCAGCCAGGAAAGCTAGTGTCATCTGAGGCTAAATGAAGGGGAGAATAATGTCTAGGACTGAGATGCACTATGGCATGGTGGTTAGAGCTGGCTCACCTGAAGCTCGGGAAGGAAGTCCAGGGTTCAAATTCAGTCTCTGATACCTACTGGCTGTATGACCTTGGGCTGGTCACTTTACATCTGTGCCCCAGGCAACTTTGTAAGCCCACAAATTACAGAGGGGTTGCCACTCGGCATTGGTAGAGGGAGCCTCCATACTGGTAATTCTGTATGTCAAT